GTCTTGGGGAGCTTTTTCTCCTTATTTCTTATATTCTGCTATACTAGAAAATTTTTCCTAAGAAATACTTTAATAAATATATAGTTTTAAGTAAATGAAATTATTTTTAAAGCAGTAACAACAAATTATTCACCAAAAGAGAAGTTTTTTATGTCCCTCTCTGGAACGCGGCGTAAATTTAAGTTTTACGCAAGGACTTATTGAAACCTCCTTGGAGACAGTAAACTTTTATACGGATAGTTCAAGCAGCTTGAATACTTCAATTAATCATTTATAATAACATTTCTATCATAAATGAGTGAAAGTTACCCCAAAATTTTTATTTATTGGCCTAAAAAGTAGAAATTTTGAGGAAATGAGAGGTATAAATGGACCAAAAGAGACTTTATAAGGAAGAATAAGAGGTCCATTAGTAGTATTTATCATCCTAAAGTCATCTTTTGTATCATATTCAACTGTTTGTAGGCAGATGAGATAAATATTTGATCATTTATTGGTCCACACTATATTCTATCATGATGCGGCTTGGTTTGAATTTTTCGAAGAAATTTTGCTCGAATCGCTGTAGATGTCGTCTTACATTATACTAGATTTTTCTCAAACTATTGAACTGATTATGACAAAACTTGACAGAAATGCTTGAAATAACCAGTATTACAAAGGAAAAAAGTCACATTCAGTTTATTCAACAAAAAAGTCTTCTTTAGGTGTAATACCACCAAATCATAGTACGTCACATCCGGTTGCATACGAAAATAGGTCGAAAAAAAATATTCCCTTGAATTTGACAGTTGTAGGTAATTGATCCTACATTTCATTGCAGTAAAACATTTCTGAGTCATAAACATATATCTTGGCTATTTCAAAGCACCATTATTTCTTTATTTGGGGTTTCTATAGAATATTTTGGAAACTTGAGGTTACATGGTTACTAAAGCTTGTACACAGGTTAAAAAAGGGGGAAAATTTGATTGGTTAACTTCCAGTGATGGTTATTTTCTTATATGCAATGAAATGTTATGTGAAATTTTTTCTATAGTACTGGACAGGATAAAACTTTACTCATGCCAAGTATTTCTTTATTTGAAACAAAGATAAATTCTGCACAATTTTTTGAAAAGTGCAAATTTAACAAAGACTAATAGGGGAAAATCAATGGTGGTATTACACCTAATATGAGCATTCTTTATTTTATGATATAAAATTGTAGCGAGCCAATGGCAAAATTTGAACAATCATAGAAAAAGTAAAAATCCAACGTTTACAGTACACATAATCTTAAATTATTTCTTATTGATATAGTGAAGTAGAACTTTTATACGTAACCTTGTTTTTGTTGATTCTATACATTCAATACCTATAGTTTTAGTTTTACATTTTTGAGTTCATACTATACTGCGAGACTACTGTTATATATGGCATTGAAAACTGGTTGTTATCTAAAATCAGAAAGGTCATGAGTCAGTCGAAGAAAACTTCCGTTTTAAATTATGTTATGTAGACGACAGTTACAATAATCAAAGAAAAATACTCATATATTTAATCGAAACGTTGATAGTCTTGCCAAAGGTTCTAAACTATTAGATGGAGACTATTTTATCATTTAACAATGATAAATATATTACTGTTGTATCCCTTTAGTTTCTTGTTAAATGTATTAAACTATATTGAATTTCCCTAACAGTTGAATTGTTCTTATCAAAAGTATTGCACTTTTTGATTGATATGATACATAGGTTGTTTAAGTATGATGATAAGCATACCTTTTTGAAAATTCATCCAAACGTTGTAATTTTTTTGTCAAATCAATAACTGTTGAAGCAGTAGAGCATTAAAATCACAATTATATAATATGCTTTCAAATATTTAAAAAAGTTGCGGCTTTTCTATTAATACAGAACTCCCAATAAGTTCTAAGTATTTTAAATACCTTTTTGAAATATAACATATTTCGTAAATAAAATTACCTTCTTGGAAATCCCTACCCAAACTATGACGGATAATTTAGGTACATACATGACTTTTTCCATAAATAATATAATAAAATGCAACATAAGCCTTGACATAATTCTATCAAACAAGTAAACCATTGATAACTAGGAATTTCTGTACAAATATAAATAAGTCCGTGAATATTTTTTGCGCATAAACAGAATTGTAACCGAGGTGAAACAACGGTTAGATGGTAAGTATGGTTAGATGTTTTTTTATGTTGTAGGATTGATGAATTATTGGGGAATAAACCATAATCTCCTTTAATCATATTAATCATATGTGGTGATGATCAATTATTACAAATATTATTTTCTAACTTTGATTTTCTTGACAGATCTCGGAAAAACTTGTAAGTAAACTGTTTGTCAGAATATCTTAATATGTATACGAATACAACAGCAACGAGTGGAAAAAAAATGACAACGCCATGGCAACAAATGACAAAGAGACTAACATAAAAACACTAAAAACTGAGCAATACGAAAACGAAACCGTTCATGATCTCAGATGACTAATTGTTATACTTACAATGATTTCTGAGATGTAAAATTTTCTAAGGGATCTAAATTAAATCTTGATTGTGTTAATTTAGGAGATTTGCTGTTATGGCAGATATTGGATAATCTCATGTTAATTACATTTTTACATTGAAAAATAATTTCTTCACATAATTTGAAAAATTAGAAGTTGTTTCGCAAAGCCTGTAGATTCATACACAATTCATATATTAATTCAAATTGTTTTTAAAAATATTATATTTTAACGCGAGATAAGTTAGATCCATGTAGAATATTTCACCATATGAATATTTTAAAGTATATTTCTATTTACTAGTACACTCTATATATTGGAGAAACTGCACTTCTGTCATATATTGACATATTAATTATTGCATCTCTCTAATCGGAATCGTCCAAACATCCATCGTCTGATGCTTGAAACGTTCAACAACAATGTATTCTAAACTAGGGATGAATTTCTATAGACTTTTTGTTACTCATATTATACACCTGTTTTATTATTTTTAATTTAAATAGCACAACATAGCAAAAACTGAAAAAATCAGTTGCAAATGGCTTAATTCACTAAATAAGTATTATAAAACACGAAACAATAGACAAGAAGCACCCTTTAAAGGAGTATTCAGTATTACTTTGAGTAAATTTCACGAAAGTCCGTCGAAACTAGATGCAGCTTCTAAGTTAAAATTGATACTCATTTCGGAATTTTAAGAGTAAAAAGGAAACTTAAAGTCACCCCTAGTACACATAAAAGGTTTAATGCTTATCATCTTTTAATATTATAAAGAATATTTGGGGTTGTTCAAAGTAAGCCTTGGACAATTTTTAGAAACAGGTCGAATGTAGATTTGATTGTAAATCATTTTTTTCACGTTTTTGATCTTTAGATATGAAGGATTATTTTCACAGAATCCACTATGTTTTATTTTATTCATCTGATAAGTATAATACCAGTTTGAATTACAAATTGTATCCCGTAAGGACATGGGGCTATGATTTTAATTTTAAATCAGAAATTCAATAGTAAATCTTCTATGTCATCATATGGCACACTTGTTTATTGTGTAAAACAACTTAATCACAATTAAAACGACAACATCTCCTGTTCAATATCTTCACTTTAATTTATGTTTAACAACAGATACAAGATAACAGTTTAAATATATATACTTATTTGAGAGTCCTCTACACGCTGTTAGCTTCTTGTGAAAGGTATAAAAACTGTTAGAATCAGACGATATATATATAGATTTTAACTGATATGGAAAAGTAGTTTGCAATTCCCCAATCGGTATGAGTTTCTTGTCGAAGGTGACAAACTGTTAGATAGAGACAAGATATAGATTTTGACTAAGATACAAATACTTATGTGGAATTCAAGTTTTAAGTTTGTTGTCATGAGAATGTATTATTGAGACATGCGATATAAACAAATACTTGTGATTACAATATCAAATGTATATGTACTAATTAACAGGTGCATCGAGTAAATGTTGTACCTTTACCCAGTCAGGATATGTTGACCATGTATTGAGTGCTGGTTTTGTCCTTTGTTTTCAGGGGACAAGGGTGTTGGTGGTTGATATGATCTATATTGTAATGTCCATTATGTTTGGTGAATCATGTTATCCTTTTGATGATTTATTTAGTGGTACAGGTTGACAGAATTGTTTTATTTGCGAATCACTTCTCATGTATGAAGTAATTTCCAATATTTTAAAGAAAATTGGCTGTTTTTATTATAACTAAAATTAGAAACTAGTTTCATCCACATTATTTTGTTTCAAGTTGTGCCACATAAATGCTGTATATCTATAAAATTTAATTACTGTCTTGTGATTTTTCGAATAATTATTTATCCTCCGATTTCCCTTTATATTCAAGATAAATTGAGATTGATGTATAGGACTTGTAAAATGTAAGATGAATATTGAAATATTAACATATTTATTTTGTGTCCATTTACTGACATTTATAAGAAAATGTTTTTCCTTCATACACTACTTTATAAAACCCGCTAAGAAGTAATGTCTTAAACGCGTCGGTCCTTTTTTTTTTTTTTAAATCTTTCGGCAATTAATGTCCCTTCAGTAATGGTGTGGGGAATATTTTTTTTATAAAAATCAAAAAACTTGGTTAAACGTTGAAAGAGCTGACGAACCAAGAGAGACCAAAGGTAAAGCCAAAATCTGGACAAGGAAACAGAGTTATGCATGAATGAGATACATTCTTTTATTTTAAATGATTTCAAAATTTTATAATGAAAAATTGAAATAAAACAATATCCGTTTATTCATACTGGTAACGAAGTACTGGCTACTGGGCAATGATGTTCTCGGAGACTGACAGTCCATCAGCAGAGGTATTCAAAAAGTGTATATAATCGTAATTTGAAGAATAAAAACAAAAATATAAATACGTAGATATACTTGATGTTCATTTTATATTAATCTGTTATAAAGCGTTGATCTTTAATTGTAGAAAAAAAACAACAAAACAATGACATTATTTAAGGTAATCATCTGGATATTAATTCTGAAATACCATCCTTCGAAAGGATTTCCGCCGGATGCCTTGACTGGGAGTGCATATTACACTAAACATCATGCAGACATAACAGATTTTGCCATTAGAATTGCTGTCGGTAGATTTATAACGGAAAACAACCTGACAGTGATAGATGATGACACTGATGTGATCAACATAGTCAGCAATTTTTTCGGGGATGGTAAGTATAAATTCCATTTCCGATTCAAGGATTTTCTGTTTATCAAATTTTCTGTTTTCAACAATAGACACTTGTCAAAATATTATCTAAGAAAATAGGAGCGTTATCCGTAGATTGCTGGATGGCATAATTACCTTCAAAGCAACAAAATATATTTTTTTGACATCTTAATGATTTTAATATTAGGTTTTAACATTTGCAATACATCTCCTGTTATATGTTTTTTTATACGAACAAATTGATTTTAATACTTGTGGTTACCCTCACATAATTCAAATTCCAAACAAGAAATAATATATCAATGAAGGTCATTATATGGTTAACCGGTTTTTGCACTTGAACAAACAGTGTGGTAATTCGAGGTCACCCGATATATTTTGATTTTTCTATTTTGTTGAGGGTCTATAATAGTACATTATTTCGCATTACATTATAATTTATGTGGTGAAGATATGATATTGCGTGTACTAACATTTAAAACACATATTTCTATAACTTACATAAGTATAATGTGATCATATTTCAGCCATGTATAAGTTGTCATATATTCCTGACTGCCGATCATAATTTGAAATCTAACAAGGGTTTCTAAGGGTGGAACAATATTACCCAACATATTATAAGAATGTACAACAAAAGTTTGAATCAGACTGCCAACGATAGATATTTATCGGAACAATTCACCTAAATTAATGTTCTTCGGTCATTCACATATTGCCTGAAAGTATTTTTGAACGACTCTTTATTTTTTCTCGGCAATGGTACTTGCAACCGAATTCCATAACGAAAGAAATGTATCAAACATAATTATAGAAGGGATAATACACTAGCCTTTCTGCGTTTGTTTAAACATAAAAGGAATAATAAAGAAAAAAAAATAAAAAAAATAATGGACTTCCGTGTTACTGGTATTTGAAACAGCTAAAGATATATATATATATATATATAATATGAAAAATTGCAATTTTTCGACATAAATAACAGTTATACGTATCCTTTTGATTAAATACTGACACTGAATTAAAGAAGATCAAACATAACTATTAATGAGACAGTATCTCAAGAACACATTTTCTCAATAAATGACTATGCCAGTTACATTCGATGGTCATATATGAACACTCGGCAAACATATGGCAAGCTTAATTCCTATCAAAATTTAGAAATTTGACTGATGTTGTTTCTGGTAGTTAAAATTAGAAACAAATCAAATGTAAATTGTATTTTCTTAACAGAAAATTTTACAGACAAGTTTACAATTAAATAGCTTTTAATATAAAAATAAGAAGATGTGGTATCATTGTCAATGAAACGTAAAGTTAACAGCTATATGTTATTGTACGGCCTTCAACAATGAGCAAAACTCATACCGCATGGCAAGAAACAAAAGGCCCCGACATGGAAAATGTAGAACATTTCAAACAAGAAAACCAAAGGCCTGATTTATGTACAAAAAAAAATCAAAAAAAAAATCAGATAACACACAGCAACAAACAACAATCACTGAATTACTGGCTCCTGATTTGGAAAAGGTACATACAGAATGTGGTGCTGTTCGTATTATATTTTATTGTTTGAACGCTGTAGAGAGTAGTTTATTTTTGTGTGCATTGTGCAACATCATTACATGTTTTTATCTTATTCAGTTGAACAGAAAAAAAGTTTGTATATTAAACTCATTTCCATAAAAAAATATTGACAAAACATTTCAGATTCAGATGGATATGAAAAGTTTGTTGAAAAGCAAAAGGAAATAGTAGAAAATGTCCAAAACCAGGAAAAGTCGAAGGAAGCTCATATACACTGCAATTCAGAACAAATTGAATTGGGTAAGACGAATTATAACGTATATACTAACCAATATATTAAAATATATAATACCTGCACGACTATATGTTTATTTTTTCAAGTATTTAGGTGTCAGATTAAAAAACACTGACTATACTTCCAATACAATGTTATGTCATATGTCGGAAAATGGCGTAATATCTCCAGGACGATGTTATGCAACACTTTTTTGTGTTTTTTCATTGAACTGTTAATCAATTTGTTGAACCTTTTTATTCAATCTATTTGATAAATTATTTAACGTTTGTAAATGTTAGTTGTATTTGCATGACTTAGTGCATTTTGGCATTGTGATATATTGATTCAAGCTGATAAAACAGAAACAAACACGAAAGACAGAAAAAAAAACAGCAATGCACAAATTTTGTTAACATTATATTTCTTTTGTTTCCTTATTTTGAACATACGTTTGATTACAAAATAAATATGGTTTAAGTTCTATGATACACGGTACAAATTCGTTTATTATTTTGTTAGAAAAACACACAAATCTTAGAAATCAGGCGTAATTCAGTACACATTACTCGCGTTTCGTTCACGTTTAAAATTAACGCACCAGTCGCGCTCTAAGCAAACAAATAGGAAGGTAAAAATCAATATAAGTTGATGATAATTTAAAACCACATCAAAATAATCAGTTGTTACAAATCTTGCTAAAGCTATCTATATAACTCTAGTGTTTTGAAAGTTTTTAACATCATATGTACATGAGATACGTTTTAATACTATGACAACACATGTATCTACTAAACCTTCGTAATTACTTTCCAATTTGGTCAACACCTGTATATTTTATCAATAGCTTTTCCAGGTTCTCCGAAATACATCACCTAACAAATGTTGAATTTACGTGTAATGTTTCAGCTCACAACCATGTTATAAAACTTAGAGGACAAATAAAGGAACTTGCACAAAGTGCAGAACCAAATATTTCACTGATTCGGGAAATGATTGGAAAGTGTATCTACACAATACAAGCTTTTTATAGCGGAACTAACTGGGTTGAAATGAATGGTGATGAAGTTTACAACGATTTTGGTAAGCTATGAAAATTAAATAGTTTATTATACAAATAAAAGAGAGGCGAAGGATACCGAAGGGACATTCAAACACAGAAGTCGAAAATAAACTGACAAAGCCAAGGCGAAAAAGAAAAAAAAAAAACCCAAACAACAGTAAACAAAACAACATAAAACCAAGACTGAGCAACACAAACCCCACCAAAAACTGGCGGTGATCTCAGAAAGGGTAAGCAGTTCCTGCTCCACATTTGGCATCCGTCGTTTTTCTCATGTAAGTACAAACCCGGTGATATGTCTAATTCGGTAGGTCACATTCGGGGGAAGATTTAGTAATGTTTAGTTCCAAATCCTGCCATTAAAATTAAAACAACATTTAATAAATATCATGCGTCCGATTGATTGCAATTATTTAATTAATAAAAATATCATAAATAACTTTGCTTATAAATTTATGTAATTCAAATATGTATTTTTCCTGTTGTATATTAATACACGATTCTGCATTCAGCTGTTTGTCTGTATACTCACATTTTTCCCTCACAAATGCAATAGACCGTTTTGATAAAATAATTGAGCAAATGGTATTAATACATCAACAATAGAATAAAATAAGTAAAAAGCATATATCAATCATGAATACAAAACATTTAAATACTCGTTATCGATGAAGTAATAACAATCTGTTCTGATATTTGTTTTCTTGGGCACAGGTGTACCAAATAAAACGTTAATGGCTATTGCTGGTGCGACGGTGGACACTTGCCAAGATTGTGACAATTCTGGGTAGGTAGTTCATATTTTGCAAGATGCTAACTTGATGAATATGTACAAGTTTCTCTGCAAAAGATATTAACACAAAGAATACGTAACATTTGTGCTGACTAAAGACATATGCTCCACACATCTACTTTTATCATAAAAAGTAAAGTATTTTCAGAGATGTGTTCCTTGTTGAATCGAGTTGAAAAATTCATTCCTATGTTTACAGTCTATATATTTTGACTAGTAATTTAATGAACTTACATTCATCTGAAACCAGTTTTTTATTATAATGTCTTGGCAATAATTGAATCAACGCATGCATATACACTATGTCCTTTAAGCCAATTTTTCACATTTATTCCGTATCCATCATGTCCATATTGGATAATCGACAAAAAATTCTTCAGTGAGTGTTGATCTGTAAACTTTAGCTTCTAATTAAATTTCTGGTTGTGTTGCAAAAGTTAACTGGATCGTGACATTAATAAACCATCAACCCAGAATCATGGAGCACGTGGAAAATAAATTTTTGCTGATTTTGTTTGATATTTCCCATGCATTTCCATTTGTTAATTCTATAAATTATTAAATGATTTTGTGCATTAAACTGTTCTTTCAGAATCAATTTACACTATTTAACTTCCAGCGCACGTTTGTTTTCAATCTTTTAATCACGATTTACCCCTCTCGACAAGAGCATTGATACAAAGAAACAACGCCTTTATTACTTACAAATACCTGTTTGATATTTTTTTAGCACAAAAGTGAATTCATGCAAGAATAATTTATTGGTAAACGATATGTTAACGAGCGGATATCAGACGGGTCAGGATGTCCAACCTCCTTATAGTATGTATACACAGCGCTCTTATGGCGTACACGTCTTTATAAAACAATCGATGGAGAACAGTGTATGGGGTTCATACCTTGTGTGTTTGTTTGAAATGTTTTAGAAATGTGTAATTGTATGCATATTCTGTAAATAAATTACATTATTGGTAATATCAATGGTGCAATTCCATATATGATTGATAAGGAAAAGGAGAATGCCGTACACTGTTTTGTCTATGATGCAATGATGATTGGTGTTTAATCTTTGATTCATTGAAGACAATATGATTAGTGTATGGTCTAAGGGGGAAAGGTGTATGGGTAAATTGGAAATAGTGTAAGTGTGTACATGTAGTTTACACGGACCAAGGACTGTAAAAGAGACACATTGAATCTATAACTAGTTCTTTAAAACTTTAAAGCAATGCACAGTATAAGAGAAATCATCATATGCCATTTGAGAGCGACTATTATACTTCTTTACATAATATTATAACTAGGATTCATAATAACTGATATCTGTTTCAACATTATATTTTTCAAACATATCTCATGTTAAAAAAAGTGCTAAAATTGTTTGACACTATATTCATGGTATCCTCTTTATCTGGTATACTGTTCTTATAGAATCATAATTAGGTGCATTTTTTTAATGGTTTTTAATTCATTTACTTATTCTTATATGTACCCCTTTTTTATTCTAACGATTGCATTGACTTTAAAAAAACGCAGTTAAATGCTGTTACATGTAACTGTGAATTTCCAAAGCCAGAAACCTTATCAATAGTTATCGTTAATACATGATGTATAATTTGTCGTACAGTTTGTTTTCCTGTCAGGAATTTATGTTTGGCAGATTCTTGGTATTCTGTTAAAATTTATAAATAGCAGGTCTAAACTCGGGCGGATTTATTGCTTTACCTTTTGCATAGACACTATATCAGTTTTTTCGTATGTGAACCTTCATATGTCTATATAAAAAAGAAGATATAGTATGATTGCAAATGAGGCAACTTTCCACAATTTCCAAAATGACTTTCGGTTTGCAGCTATAATTTGAAATTACAACTGTAAAACAATTCAAACGAGACAACTCACGGCTGATTAATGAACAAAACAATAAATAAAAAAATAAATATGACATACAGCAACAAACGACAACCACTGAATGTCAGGCGCCTGACTTGGGACAGGTCCACACAGAATGAGGTGGTTGTGTTAAAGATAAACCTTCTATGTTGGTTTTGGAATGTTGTACATCAAACATATCTTTTTAAAATTACTATATAAAACACCGACGTTTATGAAGATACAGTAAAACGTGAGCTTCCGTTTCATTATATAACAATCTAGTTGAAAGAGCCAAAATTTAAGTTTATATATATTGCATCTAATTATAGAAACTAGTGGTGATATCGGTAAAGGAAAATGTGGATTCGGAGGAAGTGATGATACAGAAAATGGTGATAGAACTGCAAAAGGCGGAATAAACAAAGATAGATTAGACCCTAAGTACTCACCTCACCACCATCTTCATTACAAAGCATTTTATGCTGCAAGAAAGGCAACAGAGCTATTTCTAAGAGATGAAGGTATGTTTTGTGAAACATTTTGTTATATATTTTTAAGAGTAATTTTTTTAAGTACCAAAAAAAAAAATAAAAATTGTTTTATGCCATATTTATATCAATAATGATTAGTAAACATATAAAAGATAAGGGACTATTCCATATGTTTCATTATGAAATAAATTAATTGTGTGTTATTCTGATTTACATATCAAATGATTAAATACATCAACTTGTTACAGATATAGGTATCATTAACGAGTTGAATGTGGACACATTTGCACAGATTTTTGGCTTGGTCAAAAGATACCAGGCGTCATTTGGCTTTGTGATAGACGACACCGGCTCTATGGGACCTATTATTGCTCAAGTTCGGAAGGCATGCATCGATTTTGTTACGAATGTTTTGGGCACACCAAATGCGCCATCCAATTACATCTTAGTTACTTATAACGACCCAGGTAGGTGACTTTTCATTTATTTTAGTATAAAAAATCAACTGTAAACGAATTAACACTTTCATGCAGAAAATTCTTTTAAAATCAAGCTAATTTCCTGGCAATTGCAATCGAAATACTATAAATGTAATTAGTAACTAATTACAATATTCAAAGTCAGAAATGACGGTTGGTGTATGCATATAGTTCCGATCTATGCAATGACGCTGTCCCAAACAGTAACGAACCACAAAAATGTTAGGACGATGTATTATTACCCGAACTAAAACCATACCGCAAACGCTCATTGTCACTTGTTTAAATTATGAGCGTTGATCAGTGTTCATGACGTCTTCTAGCATAAATCGTTGGTAGCAGTATTAAGCGAACATCGTATTGTAAAGCAAAAAGTCATCAAGTGAATATTTCGTTTTTGTCTGTAGTAAAACCTTTTACGTATTCAAACTGTGTTGAGATATCCTGTAATTGTTTGTTTTGTGAATAGTGTGGTGCTACAGAGTGACTTTGGTTGAACTACTGTTCACTCTTGACACATGCGGTTTTTGTGGCTTTAATAAGAAGATCTGTCTCATTCGTGTATTCCCATAAGGTTGATCAAAAATATTCAACAGTTCATGTACAAACATAGTTGCATATATGACAAAAAATCTCACACATACTCTATGTCTTAAATGCTAAAATATTATGTTGATTCGTGTTGTTCAATTTTAACATCTCCATGTTACAGTAGTGCTATATGAACATCTTCCTTTTTCCTTCTTTTTATTTAGGCCATGTTGAACTTGTCTTTCTTTTGAAAATGCTTAGTGGTTACCCCGGTAATATACTTTTTTTTATACTTTGATGAAAACATTTCTGTGCCTTTAATTCTTATGTTATTTTAACTTTGTGTCCATTTTAAAAGAACTATTTCATTACTTTCCATATCCCGATGGACCGATTTTACACCCACATATAGTTTTTATAGCAGTGCAGTTGCTTTATCATTTTCTTATTTTAATTTTCATTTACTGCATTTTCCTGCTCAAACTACATTTGTATGTCTCGTAATCAGTTTTCGCTACTTTCAAAACCCATTTGTATGTTAGTATCTTCAAACTAAGTCAAGTTATTATGATTCACTTTTTATACTCATGGTATGGTTATTAATGTTATTTATAGAGAGGCATAGGCTTCGACTAATGACCGAAAATGGAGTTGACATGATAAGTGCACTTGATAATGTGACAGTTAATGGAGGTGGTGACTGCCCAGAGTATGCCATGAGCGGATTACAGAAAGGTATGAGTAATTAGTTTGTTAGTTTAGTTTCTCGTTTGAATAGTTGCACTTTTTTATGTCGTGGCATTTTATAGCAGACTATACGGTGTGAGATTTTCTAAATGCTGAAGGCCTATAATTACGAACATCCACTTCATTTGAACTCTGGTAAATAGTTGTCTTATTGGCAATCATACCACATCTATATAACATGTGACATCAGGTGTTCACACATGTTTGTGTTGTTGGGACCTAGAAAAAATCACTTTACAGAATGTAATATAGTTATCATCCTTCATGAAAATCCGAGGAAAAAAAAGTAATATATACATTAGGACATTACGACCATTCGTCTCTTCAGACATCCTTTCGAAAACAATGCATTTATATCGAGGCCTTTGATTTATAGAAATATACTATAACATAATAATTTATCATTATTTGCTATAACACAAAGATCTCTTCAAGGTCAAGAATAAAATTATTGGAGTTTTGTATGTTGTTTTATATATGTCAAAATGTGGCGAGTTGAATATTCTGATTTTACGAAGACGCCCGAAGTGAAATTTAAAAATGTTTAAATTATTTTAGGTATTGAAATGAGCAAAGAAAAATCCACAATTTTCTTCTTTACTGATGCTCCAGCAAAAGACGCATTAGAGAATCAGACTGTTATAGATGCCGTTAACGAGAAAAATATTGATCTGAAACTTTTTCTGCAGGACTATATGTGTTCTCGTCGAAGAAAGAGGGAATCTGGTGGTAATACTTAATACTAATACTAAAATATTCATGCTACCACCCCTTCAAAATATAAATAAACAACCTAAATGTAGCCTCGCAATGAAATGTTTCATAAACGGTCAGAAATCCTGATTATAAAAGTATGACATAGTTAAACATGTGAAAAGAATTCATATAGTATATGCCTTTCATGATAAATTAGAGGTAACAGTAGTGTACCGATGTTCAAATCTCATCAATGTCTTATGACGATACAAATCAAGACCTAGTTAAAACTAAAACTACATTAGGGAATCAAATGAACTTCAAAGGGAACGATACCGGTTTTGTCAATAGGGTAACATCACCTGCTAGGCATGATAACCGACAAACTTATGTTGTGTCGATTTTAATCGTTCTTCCACATACCTATGTTAGGACAGTTTCTGTGTGAGCATCACACAAATGTTAATGAATGCCTTATAGTGAGAACATTCATGAGTGTAACGTTTGAATTGAGATAATGAAAACGCCACAATATGGGATAATTGTATGTAGAGGTAAGAAGTTGACAATTGGAAAGTAGACATAGATTCTAATTTGAAGTCGTCCGTATGTGCCAAAAGCATGGAAACAATCAAAATATGAAGCAGTCCTTCTAGCTAAAGTAGAATCTTTAATATCAATTTCAATGTGATGTATGAAATGCAAGAACTCACTTAGATGTGCATAATTGATTGATAGTTCATCATCAATATATTTGAAAGTGAAATTAAAGAATTTTGTAATATGCTTCATCTTTTTGTGTTCTAGAAGGTTCATTAGGAATTCTGCTTCATATGAGTACTTCAAAAAGTCTGCCGATAGGGATGCACAATAAGTACCCATTGATATACCGACCTCTGTTGTTATATAAACCCACCAAACACAAAATATATACTGTCGTTGAAAACGTAAAGCAGTGTTGTGATATCGTTTTCAATGGATTTGTTGTTGGAGTCGTTGTTGTTCTTTGCATATTAATACTTTTGATAAAATAAAACAAGGAGTTTGTTTCTACGATTCCCATTTCTGTAGAAAAAGCACTTTTAATGAGAAGGTGTAGTCGATCTTTCAATTAAACACTAAGAACAGACAAAAATCTATTAAAAGATCTAAAGTGTTGTTATCACTGGAAAATTGTAAAGTTTGTGATTGAAGATTTCGAGTAGGTTAGAATTCACATCTAATTGACCCCACTTGTTGAATATACCTTATCACAGTATTTCTGAAGACAATATTTTACTGTAGAAAGAATGATAGTCATAACTTAGAATTTATGTTAGGCGACACATCTAGACCATCTGGCTATATATCGTTAAACACAATTTGTGAAATTGAGGTATAAATTATAAAGACGGAAGATTTGCGTAGTAATTTTTATATAAGTCCAAATAGGTGATTTATGATATTCTAAATCTTCTTACCGTGAATGATGAATAGGTTTAACAGTTATCAGTAGGAATCCGTAAACTAGGTTCTTAAGTAAGTCATTTCAAATAACTTTTGTGCAAATACTGTGTGAGGTTTTGTCTGCTGGAAGAACAACATATGTGTCTTGCAAAGTGAATACATCATCAACAACCTCTGGCTTGTTGTAAGTGTTCGACATCCTTGTGCTCATGGTATATCGTAGTTATTGAATGCGCTCTTGAATACATGGCCAGCTCCAATACACAAAATTTATTAAAAAATAATTACTTAAAAAGCAAGGCCCTTTCAAAACAACAAATAAAAAAAAATATCAGAGTAAAACTGTCAATGCAAAGTATACATCCTAAAACTTATACACCAAACAAATACAATGACAAAAGTATAATGTAAAATGTTTAATTGAATTCGAATAATCATTTTTTTTGTTTCTGTCTCTATGAGAGATACACACATATCTCGGTTTCATATATACACCTTACATTCATTATATGAACCATTATATGCATCAGAGTTTAAAAACCTCAACAACATCAATACACAATATTACGAATAATATCGCAATAATAAACAAAATACCATTTATATCATTAAGGTGGTATGAGAGTATAAACAAAAAATGATATAATTTGTTAATACTTTGCCAAAATGTAGTATATATTGTGATATGTTCAAAAATATAATAAGAATGATAGGTCACCGAACATGTTTTTAAGCTACAGGTGGTGAAAAATGACACATTTTGTATGGATTATACCCAGAATAAGCATCTTAATGTGAATAGAAGGTTAACTAAATGATAGAATTTTGAAACAAAGTATGAGAAGATATCTCTTATAAAATCCTTTCAGAATAGCAAAAGAAAAAAATGGGGTCACCGTACGTTTTTTTCCTGATATAACATGAAATAGAAAAATTTTCTGAAGATTCTTTTATAAATCTAACTTTTTCTGAGTTACCTCCCCTGAATACGCAGAGTTTAAAAAAGATTGAAATCAAGCTAAAATATTCTACTTTTGTAAAGGTATGAGTGATAATAATGTAATACGATCACATTAATTTGTTAGTAAGTTGCATTACTGCATCAACATCCAAGACCTATTGTGTTCTGCTATTTTGCAATCCAAGATGGTGGAAGACACCAATACTGTAAAATCTGTAAAACAGACAACTAATGGTGTGGGGATGTCTGTAATGGCCCAAGGCAACGCCGATGGTCACGACAGCCTAATCCGCCATTATCACTAACTAAGGACATATAACAAGCCATTATATAAAAACAACCATTACTTTATACATGTTTTTACAATCTAAACATAGGAAATATTCAATTAAAAAACTAAGTAAATTATTGCAAAAATTTCTAGTTTCAGCTAGAATTAAAATAGTGCCTATTTCAGCCAACAGGGTTGTATCACGGGCCATTATTGATAAACAAGATTGAAATGACATTATTTTGTTTCAAACATTTAACATTAAAACACTTTTCATACCAATAAATCAATAATTCAGACAATAATAACATTGAAGATACTAATTATTGTGAACGATTATTATTTATTTAAGAAGAGTGATCCATACAAATGGTAAGTCATCTTTGATTTTTTTATCGTTTCAAAATGACTGGTTTTCCATAATGTTCCAATATCGATGTCCATTGTCAGTAATATATTTAAGCAATATTTTTTTAGTTTCTACTCTCCTGAATATCTTTTAAAAATATATAAAATTCTGAACACGACTTTAACTTACACCTTTTAATATATATGTATATACAAAATTCAAATTTCTTCCAAGGTCGAAAGAAGCGTGATGTTGGATCAGATGCATATTCTCTAGTGGCAGAGGGTACAGGAGGGACAGTTTACCGGTTTAATACAGCGCAACTAGGTGATATCATACGACAAATCAGTGAGGTAAGAACGGTTGATGTTATGTGAAAAAAAAATTTAGTATACTGATCGTTAATAAGTTTGTTCTTCAATAACTATATAACAATTGCGATTTTTAATCTGGAGAAGGGAATATATACTTAAAAGAGGAAACGAATAGTTTGAATAGTGCAACTAATGTTTTCAAATGGGATATAAATTAAGGAGACAGTAGAATTTCGATGTTCAAATCTCGTAAATCGATTAGACAGAGACGAATCAAGGTAACAAATAGAAATTTTTAAACAGTATTGTAGTTATTTCGAGATACGCTGTAAAAAGGCATATAAAACAACAAGACCAAATGGTGGTAATGCCTAATTAGCTCTAAAAGAAACTTCTATGAATGTCTCTTTACGAGGATTGTCGCCAAGAAATCGGAACAATCTAATGTTAAATTTTACTTTATGCCTTCGCCATTAATTCGATGATTAAGTGTTCCTGAAGTTGTTTAAATAATTCAGATCCGATAGAAAGAACACCAATGTCAAATAGCATTTTATATATTTGTTATGACACATTGCATAACACTAAACGTCATCTAGAAATTCACCAACCAGAACAAAACCAAAATTATTGAATGTTCAACTACAATTGTCTATAAAATTTCATGCTCATTGCGATACTAGAAAAGATACGACTAATTTAAACAGGCACTAACACAGATCTTTCATACACACCAAATTTGTTAAAGGACAAATAAAACTTCATTATTGATAAATTTCAAAGGAATCTGATAAAATGTACACACACTACGCCAGACCTCAATTGACACAAAATTGTAGGCATGCCATTCAGAAGCGGAATAAATTCAACATAAAATACAAAAGGCGATTCAACGGCAGATAAAACATCGACAATTCCTATTGACATAATATTAATTTTAATATCATACTTGCTGTTGAAAATGACTCTTTTACTATATGAATAAGTATAGATATCAACTTAAAATTATCTTAATTTTCTTAATCTTTTCCTACAACCAAAAAGAGGTATGCTAAATGACACTCTTCTCTTAAATAGCTTTATAAACTACGGGCTTCAAGTACACCGTCTCCCATTATCCCGACCTCCATACTTACGACCTCCATTATATTGTTTTTACTTTATATCAATGTTTAAACATATTGATTATCTTAAGAAAATCCTGGTACCATTGATAACTGATTTGATTTGTAGAAACATAAACATATATCTTTCGCAGAAATCTGTATTAAAATCATAACCAAATCAACATTTATGATCGCACAACCAGTTGCACGTTTATTGGCCATAACGTCAAATTAGCATGACAATTCAAAGTATAAACACAAGAAAGAAAGAAAATAAATAGAAACAAAATGGCATCCAGTTGAGTGATACTTTGCAATTTATGATCCTCATATAAATGTCTCGTTTTATGAATACAACATTTACATTTATTTTAATTTTTCATAAATCAAGGAAATCTTTCCATCTGCAACAGCTATTGTGGACATGTTTAAGCTCTATCCAGAGGACGGAGATTTAGTGTTGTTTCCGGTCGATAATATGTTGAACAATGTTAAAATTACAGTGACTGGTGCTTATTCTGAAGATGATGTTGATATCAAATCTCCATTTGGTAATTGTTTCTTAAATGTTTAGATTTGACTGACATATTATCATTTGAATGTTAACGCGTCAATAACTCCTAGAACACATGCTAAAGAAACAGAAAATAGTGATAATAATGTAAGTCGATTACCTTTTCTTTGTGAATGGTTGATCGTAGTTTACCATTTGCAAAGAATGAAGTATGGAGTTTGCTGCAGTCGATGGAAATTGTTGGATTTACCTATATTAGTAAACAAAGTTAAGAGCCAAACGATCAGGATATCATTGCACTTGCTTAGAGTACTAGTATTTAAAACTTATTTAATAAATTGGAAACAAATAGTTGCAAAAGAAAATGAAAAAAGAAAATGAATAAAAAAACAAAAAAACAAACAGAGAGAATTGGAGTATGTTCGAATTGGCCAATATATGGCCACTTTTTATAGCTAACATTTCAAATTAGGATTACTTGGCCATAATCATATTGTGTCATGGTTAAAACAATCACCAGATATTGTTTTTGTATGTTTTAATGATTTAAGCATCAACGTGATTGTTATCACGTCAAACTTATGATAAGTTTCAATGTTTCACACATTGAATGAAAATGGGATTTGAAAAACTTTCTCCACACAGTCATTGTTTAGTCTATTCTTGGTCTTAATTTCAACGCTTTATTAAAACTATTAGGAAAGCGCAACACAAATCGTTTAATTGAATTTTTAACATGTTGATATATCAACTATAAGCATTGTTCATCTTAAAATGGTGCAAGTCAGGTAACAAAAGATAAAGTTTCCACCGATATGCGAATAATAATGTAGTTGCTTGAATAAATGTATAATTTTAACAAATCCAAACAACGTTGTTTTTTTTGTATCCGTATAGTTTCCTTACTATATTTTTTTTTACAAAATTTTGTTACAGGATCCATAATGAAAGCTGAGAATACCAGTGTGCTTTTTGAAAGCCCAGATAAAGTTGTTGTCACTGTTTTGGTAAATAAATGAATACATTCCTGTATCCACACAATATTTTTTTCAGTGGTGGTTCATTAGATTTTATAACATATGCGTACTATTAATTTTTCGTAAATAATCAGTTCATAACTGTGTGTAATATTCATGGAAATAGCGAACCCTACATGTACGTATTGAATCTCGTTTCCTGGTTTTGATATTAAAACACTAGAATTGTATGATCTGCAAATTCACCAACTGTATTTTATTCCTGATCATAACATTTTCTTCTGTTTCTCATTTGTTCTATCTTGATTTGTATATCAAAAATTGATTAACGAGTATTGAACATTTTTCTCGGATTTTTTGTATATAGACGAACAACGAATCGAAGTGTTGAATGAAGTATACATTTTCCATACGTTTGTGTACAAACGTTGACAAAACTACGAAATCAAGTATCAATATAAAATACTTATTTTTTATCTTTTTTTTTATCTTCAATCCACTGAAATTTGTACCATCAGATATAAATGAAACAACAGAAGTTACATATATTGCTTTATAATAAATACTCTAAAGTGGACTTTGCATGGAAAACGGACCCCACCGTTTCTGGTTTCTGAAAATTGGTATGTAGACGACTCATTCAGGTGCAGATATCCATTCATACTCTTACACCCACGTCATTCGAAATGAGCGTTCTATACCTGACCCAACTACGAATAATTTGAAAATTTGATTAAAAACAAATCAGTATTTTGTCAAATTTTTTTACACCTGAATTCAAAACAAACAGTTTTAATATAGTAAATTGTTGAAATATCATGCAATCAACCAACGATCCACACACATTTCTGTTAAGGAAGAAATTTGTTTAAACAATAAACACAAATAAAACAATAGACAATCGGGTACGATAGATTACTAAAAAATATAACAGTCGATAAAACAATTAAAAAAAAACTTTCAACCCTAAATGCTTTAACACTTGAAATCTATAAATAGAAATAAGGCCAAAAGACGAGGATGTTTACGACGTATTCATCCTTTTCCTCTGTCACTTTCCAAAATACATAAAATAACACCATTACAAACTCAATCCCAATTGAATATTCTTGTACGTGTCTATAAATATAATCTATTTTATTTTTTGAAATTTACCTGTGATAATATAAACGTCACAAAAAAATACGTCACTTTTTGTGACGTTGATCCATTCATGTGACGCGCAGTTTATATTTCGTTTTTGGTGTCCAGGTGTGCTGTCGTAAATTCATGGGAGGCGTCCGTTTTTATTCTGCGGATTACATGTTGTAATGTACTATTTTATTATTTATTTATGTATTTCTCTTTGCTGAGTGTTCTCGTGTTTGTTTGTACTGTATTCCTGTCACGTAGTGTTGTCATTTTAGCGGTATTTTTAACATTGCCATATACGCGGGAGGTTTGGCTAGCCATAAAACCAGGTTCAAACCACCAATTTTTCTAAAAATGTCCTGTACCAAGTCAGGAAGATAACAGTTGATTTCAAATAGTCCGTTTCTATGTATGTTTGGTGTTTGTTTTTGTAGCAGTTCTTTGTTTACGTTTTTCCGTTGTTTTCCTCTTATAGTTGATGTGTTTCCCTCGGTTTTGATTTGTGACCCGGATTTGTTTCAGTTAAATCGATTTATGACTATTGAACAGCGGTATACTACTGTTGCCTTTATTTACGACATAATGTTGCACGACATAATGATAAGGTATAGTGAATTAAAAATAAATGAATAAATGTAAAAGATAAGAAAGTCTAAATAAGTATATATTTTTATATACATACATATACAGTATTTTCTTTTGAAAAATGATATGTTTCAGAATCCAACGGATGGTATATACAAGGTAAATAGAACTGGAAACAATAATTGGAGTGTTAATATTACAGCCCAAACTTCCGTAGATTTTCACTATGCAATTACGGTAGAAGCAGATGATGGAAACTTATATAAAGTATTAGGAAATCCAATTATAGGTATGAGAAGATAATGCTGTGTTAATGTAGCATTAAAAACCCCATTATTAGATTTACGGCCAACAATAGATCATTTTCATGCGTAACATGTGTAAGTGTAAGTCTAACGAGTTTATATTTTCCTTATCTGTTAACAGGTGTTCAGCGTGATATTAAACTCAATATAATATTCGTCAAACGGTTAACAAACGTTTCCAATATTAATTAAAGAATGAATGGCGAAACGTACAGTCAAACAAAAATGATACTGGTAAGTTCAATGATCAAGATTCAAAATTACTTTTAAATGCGGTGTATCTTTTTACAAACCAATGAAAAATCAATTAACTTATTTTAATTGACCATATGTTATCATTTGATAAATTAGAATCAATATATTTTGAATAAAACTGGCACTGGCAGTTGACAAAATACTTCATTTTCAAATGTACACTATTGAAAAGACCAATACTTTTTGTTAATCAAATTATTTACAATGATGAATTAAGACATAATTTATGCTTTTTACAGGCGAAAGATATACATTATTTTTCACTGTATACAACCTACCTGTTGGAATAAACGCATCATCCTTGCGTTTAAAAACGAGTAATTCAACAACGAACTATCTCAATTTAGTACAGGTAACTGGGGACTTTGACTCGACATTTTTTGTTTCAACAACTCTGACATCAGACGTAAGTACTTCTATAAAATGAAATATGTAGTCCATTTCACATAGTTTGATCGTACGCATGTAATGTATATAGTGTTTAAACCATTTGACATCTTGATAGAGATACAATGGGTTCAGATCTTAGATCAGGACCTTTAGTCTTCTGTCATGTTGTTATGTGTATTTCCTGTAGCCGACTAACGACCTTGTTTTTACAATTTGTAATTATAGTGTACTGTTACAGCAGGTTACAGGGGGGTTGAGCACTCATACATATGTTTAACACCATCACATTTTTTAATACACCTTTCTGAAATCAGCAGACTGCAATCCAGTTAATGTTGGTAGATGCGGTCTGCCATAAGGTGTTTTCGATTATATTTTAGCATACATCAGGCCGTTGGTTGTCTCCTTTACATTTTAAAATGCACGGGCCTTTTCTAGCGTACAAGATGTTATGAGCTGTTATCATTGTTCAAATCAGTAAGGTTATCTATAAAAGGAATAACATCGTCCTTGGTCTGTGGTTGACATTTATCTCATTTGCCATCATACGACATCGCCCATTTTTTTATATTCAGAATGGAATGGTCTCATTGTTTGAAATCTATTTTTGTTATAGCAATACGAAGTAAGTCTCTATGGAACAGATAGCAGTGGAAATACCTGGATGAGGACATCTCCTTATTTTATATCTCCAGCGACTATAAGACTCACGTTGAATTCCATTACAGGTTTGTATACCGTTTTAAACTGCTAGTGCGCTGAATAATGTATGTACATTCACTAATGAATCGGATTATAGTGACTTTGCTCCTTTCGCAATGTACATCAAATTATTTCCTATGCTTTTATAGATATATAATTATTTTCCAAACTATTGGCGTGTAGACATTTATGTTAACAATTTATCTAAAATTAAGAAATTAACCAGGTCATTTTGAAAATTTGAAATATTTGGAATTTTTAAATATTTAATATCGACGCAGTCACCATCTCAGTTTCAAAGAATTTGTATGGCATCTAAAACAGCAAATGATTTTGCTATTTTGAAACATCATTAACATTTGTTATGCCAAACGTGCAAGCTGACGAAGTTATTTAATGTATATTGTCTTCAATGTTGACGTCTTTGATACTATCGATTGATTTCGTTTGATTAACGACACGTGATAATATAAGGATATATAATGGTTGACTTAAGCTCACAGGATGCATGTACAACAACACAACTTTTAATTTTTCTCCGACAATATTTTTTTCACCTCAATTTATTTCTTTATGTTTTCGTTGTTTTCGGAATTTCACAATGATGGTGTTTCAGTCGAGTTACTTTGTTTATTCTTGTTTTCTTAATATGTACGCATTTAAACGTGGGGTAAACATTTTGATAAATTAAACTACTATCAATACCACTGACATCAAGTTACAACAAACATTAAGATATCACATAAGACCTCATCGATTATATTCATGGCTGTGAACAGTCATATGGATATGTGGCGGTGTTTCATATGTTGTTTGATATGTCCCCTTTTTATTAGTTTCGATTAATTGACTAACAAATCTCCAAAGAAATTAGGTCAATAAGTGTCAGTAATTAAAAACAATTCTCAGATAACGGTATACTAGATCACAAAAAGACAATAATTCTATATTATAAAGGAAAAAAAATATCATGTTTAGTATTGCCTCAAACTATAAATATGTGAATCTATGCTCATTGGTCGGGTTGTTTTCTCTTTGACACATTCCTCGTTTCCATTTTTAATTTCATTATGGTAAAAAATCTCAGGCGCAGTAATTGAACCACAACAGTATAGTTGTAACAAAAATAAGTAATTGCAAATATTTGAATGGTTCTGTATTTTGCACTATTTTCAGATCTTTATAAGAACACTGTTGGTAACGTATCCTACACTGTAGAAAACAAAGGATCAGAGAACGAAACATTTGTTGTTGATGTAACAGATAACAGAGCATTACTGACCGGCCAGACAAGTTTTACACCACTGATAAGTAGCAACGGTTCTACGGGAATAATATTTCAAATAAATGGATCTAGTCTATATAATACAGTGTAAGATTTAATGTAAAATATATTTCAACTACTGGAGAATTTACATGACATGGTATTTAACTCCTTTTACTTTCTCTCAAACATTTTTTGCATAATCTTTCAGATTAGTTTGGTTCATGACGAAGGCTATTGCAAAAGCGAAAGACGTGCGCCATGAAATTGTTTTCAACTTTTATCTTACTTTTTCTGAACTGGTACCACCGATAGTGAAGTGACAGTCCCTACGACAACGTTTGATCTGTATCCAATTCTAAAGTGCTATAACTTTGTAATTTAAATTATTAGTAATAACTGTCTTGCAATAATATTAAAATATTTGACTTTTCTACACTTTACACAAGTATTCCCAATTCCAAACTAAACGACACATTGAAAGAGTTGGTCCTGCATTATTTCATAAAAAAGAATTGCCGTTTTGTTCCTTTATTCATATGAGGCTGACTTCATACAGGAACTTCTTAGGAAGAAAGAAAAGAAGTAAGCAGTATCCTTTAATTTTATTTACTTTCCGCTATATAAATAATGTTCTCTCACAAAATAATTCATAATATGGTGACTATGTTGACACATCTATCCCATCGAACTTGAGATAAAGGATACAACAGATACAGTTAAGTCTGCATCATATCTTGACTTACATCTAAAGATTGACAATGAGGGTCGGTTGAAAACAAAACTTTACGAAAAAAAAGATGATTTCAGCTTCCCAATTGTGAACTTTTCATTTCTATGTAGCAACATTCCAGCAACGCCTGCATACGAGGTATATGTCTCCCAGTTGATACGATATTCCAGGGCTTGTATTTCCTATCATGATTTCCTTGATAGAGGGTTCCTGCTCACAAGGAAGCTATTAAACCAAGAGTTCCAAGTGTTAAGTTGAAATCATCCCTTCGTAAATTTTACGGACGCCATCACGAGTTGGTTGGCCGTTATGGAATATCCGTTTCACAGATTATAGCGTATATGTTCAAAATGTCGAAACTACAGTCCCGTCCCCTTTTCCCCGAATGTGACCTACCGAATTAGACTTATTACCGGTTTTGTACTAACATGAGCAACACAACGGGTGCCACATGTGGAGCAGGATCTGCTTACCCTTCCGGAACACCTGAGATCACCCCCAGTTTTTTGGTGGGGTTCGTGTTGCTCAGTCTTTAGATTTCAATGATGTGTTTTTTGTACTGTTGTTTGTCAATCTATCTTTTTTTCTTTTTAGCCATGGCGTTGTCAGTTTATTTTCGACTTATGAGTTTGAATGTCCCTTTGGTATCTTTCGCCTCTCTAACATACATTGTTTACATTTTTAGTCGATAAAGTATAAAACTGTACTAAACATAACGTTAAAACTAAACTATCTCTTGCAAAGTTAACCTCAGACGATTTAGACAGTTGTATTTACAAATGATGTCCAGGTTTGCTTTTGATGCTCAAAACGTTTCATAGAATTTCTCTAAGTGTACCTTATAGACCTTATCCTGATACTCGTGTTATTGCCACCTTTAATCGGTAGTTCATGGCTATTTGCAGAAAATCAAGACGATTGCAATCGCTTTCGGGCTACCTATTATACATGATCAGTAAAGTTGACTGATTCGATACATGTAATAACAAACGATTAAAATGTAGAATATTAGTTATGACAGTTTTGCACATCAATTATTCCTTTAGTTTGTAAGGTTGTATAATGTATATTGTGTTTTGTATTTGGAAGTAAATTACACATATAGTACCTCGCATACAAGGTCAGGGTTACTTCTAGCGCTTCAATTGCTTATGTCGAGTGACTGTTATGTCTATAAATGTTAAGATAAGGTATCGCACAAAAATAGAAAAATGTGCGTTAAAGCTCACATATTTTACTATACTTTTAATGTATAGCATAAGCGATTAGATTACTCTGGGATGAGAAGAATAGAAAGATGTGTAAAGGGCAAACACTATAAAAAATATATGTTCTTAAAACATGTAGGCAGCAGTAACGTGTTCATAACAAAAATAGTATTTTCTCGTAACCATAATTGCATGTAATACTGATTTCTTTTATTTTTATTTATTGCCAGGACGTACAATATTACAGTTCGAAAACAGGGATCAGTGAATATACTTGTGCACGACAGTCAAACAATATATGTACGTATTATATTTCCTGTCCGAAACTTTTGTGAGAGTTATTTGGAAGCATATCTGATCGCACATTTGTTTTATTGCGTTAAATGTACAGTGTATTATTGGACATGTACATAAACTGATATCAACATTATTAATGGGAAAAATTGTTATGTAATACGTTAAATAAGCCGTGGGGTGAAACCCGAATTTCCATTGTCCGAATACATAAACATTATGTTTATGTTGAATTGACCAATTTGCTAGTCAAGCCTGTCAAAATATAAAAGTGTGTTAATACTAACTTGTTATTGGAGGAAACATTCGGAATCAACTGAATTTCTTGATCCTGCTACACATGCTTGACTTGATTTCAAAGTCATTGTCCGTAGTCAGGAAAATAACAAAACCAGGTATTATATCAAAACGACTAATACTTATAGTGTTATTTAAGAAATAATTCTTTCATGCCATGCTCTATGCTCATTTTAACATGGGTAGGCATTATATTTGTCAATATCTTTATACCGAGCGCAAGCGAGGTGTAAAATGTTGACATATATAATGCCTACCCATGTTAAAATTAGCATAGAGCATGGCATGATAGAATTATTTCGATTCTTATAGGACAATTTAGAACTTTTGTACTTCGAAGCGGACCTATAATACGCGTTCAAAGGGCATCTATTTTGATTTGATGCAGCCAAACGTAATAGAAAATGATCCGTTTCACGATAAAACAAATGAACAAATACATGTAAACTTACTTTTAGAATGATTTTATTTAATTTCATAGCAAGCAACACCAAAACAAATGTCCATTTTGATTTCCGGCGTTGTTCAAAATACAGCTGACATTGCAATTTCAATGTTTAATGGAATTAGAACATGGCTTTTTTTCTAAAGCGAAAGAAGAACGTCATATTAGACTATAGAATATTTGATAGATTGCATGTTATATCTTTCTCATAAAAGCTGAGAATATGAGACAATGTAACGATGAATCAATTAAAAATAGGCACACTTAACTTGAGTGATTATTCAAGTCTTTACTTCTCCTGTTGTAGATTGATTGATTGATTGATTGGTGTTTAATGTCACTTTCAGCACTTTTGTGCTATTTCGTGGCGGTCAGTTTTTATTGGTGAAGGAAGCCGGAGAAACCATAGAGAACCACCGATCTTCCGTTGGAAAAATGACAATTCTAGTCATATTTCTGTGAAATAAAAAAAAAAAATCTTTCTCGCTTATGATACAATTTAAGAGCATGTTATTGTTACGTTTGCCTTTTGCTTCTTTGATATGTTTGTGTTTATTGCATTTATTCTGTGTTTTACTCGTTATCGTATTATAAAGAACACTACTGGCAATTAACTAAATATACTGTAAAGACTAATCCAGCAAAATAACATAAAATAGTTTCACTTGAAAAACATTGCCGAATTCTTAAAATGAAACGTATCAACTATTTGTTTTTTTGAAAACTCACTTGTTTGTGTCATCTTATGCTTTACGCAAACAAATAAAAAAAAAAAAAAACGTTGCATAAATGTTTATGCTATGAATTCGAAATTTTCAAACCATTTTTTGTATCTTTCTAGATTAGTCCAGATATTGCACCTACATGTACTGTTGAAAAATTAGTTGGAAAATGTGATGCATTAGATGCCACCTCATGTTCAGGAGTTACATGGAATGGACAGGCCACGATTACATATATAACTGAGCTGTCGTCCATTTCTGGATCAACGGGATGGAACTTCGAAATTAGCAGTGTACATTCATCCCCGATAAATATCAGTGCAAGGTAGTACATTCAACACATGAAAATTTAGGTTAACCGGTTCTCTGTATATTGTAAAATATTAACCCTAGAGCATGAAAGTAATTATTTTGATCGCTGTGAACGAGAAAATCAGCTTCCTATCGTGTTGAGCGTCTGATATCGTTACGCAAAAATAAAACCAAAATCTTTTATCGTACAATTTTTTACCCCCTTCTTCAGAAAATTTCACGCTTAATTGTCCTAACAAAAGTAAGCTGAATAAGAAATGCCGTCATATTGTTACTTCGCTGATAAATTTTCCTCATACATTGTGATGTAGCTGATAAAGTTTCCTCACATATAATGACGTTGCTAATTATAAGTTCTCCTCAAGACACAAGGCCGTGATACAAGAATGACGTAGCTACTGAGCATTTCATCGAGTTTAAATGCACCAACAATTTCAAAAACATTCAAAATACCGCCCAATGATCTAAACTTTGCCTTTAATCTTATATGTTTAACAGAATCACAGGACATAATGGATTATTAATTAGTATGGTGAATTTGCAATTTGAATTATAGTATGGAACGTTAAGTACATGTATATCACAAATAACAAATGCCATGCGATTTTAAATCATTTTCAAGATTTTATTGCAGAAAAATACAAAAATCCTTTCTTATATATTTTTTTGGTGACAATTGAACTCTGAACCAGAATAACCATTCTTAACACTTTAGTGATTTATTAACAAGGTCCAATTGTTAAAAAAAAGATGAAGTTAATATCGAAAAAGGGGGAAGACGAAAAAATATAGAAAAATAGACAGAAGACTAAAACCACATGCTCAATGTTAGTATTAATATAATTGAAAAGTTACCGTATTGACAAGTTTCCGACAGAAGTGTAATAAGTTTACCATAATTCGTTGTGGTATGCTTCATTAAATACAGTATTCTATTCACATAAAAATGTAAAAGAAAGATACTTCGAATCTGGTTGAATAACTTCAATGTTATTTTTTAATTTAGATTAACTCCTTAGTTTTTTTATTTTATAAAATTTTCTGTCAAGTGACGCAAGATAAATGTAAAGTTAAGGCACATAATTTGTCACTTGTATATTGAAATCAAACTAACTACGCCTACTATGTCTCTGCTGCAAACAAACCATTTCATTACAAGGCACACATTTGCTTTTGTCGAGTTATTTGAATCAAATACAACACAGGAGGTCATTCTTTAAAGCTGTATTAAATTACCAATGCCTTTTTCATTATCCAATGACATGTTTTTTTCATGTTCCTTCAGCGGTGATTGCTGCACGCCATCAGCATACCTTACAGTGACTGACAAAAACAGTAATTTTGCCAGATGCCATTTCTATCTCGGTAATGTACTTCCTATAGAGAACTCTAAGCAATTGCTGTCAAGATCGGTAAGTTTACAAGTTCTCTGATTGATGTGTTTTTCTGTGTTACGTACTCTACTTTTTATCTTAGTAGGACATAAAGTAATCCTGCAACAAACTAAATTTGATTTACAACTGACAAGTAAATCGACAAGGTACAGTCAAAAAAACAAACAAGCCATTCCAATATAAGAACCGTCGTAAAATATATAAATGAATATATATGGGAATTTCATTAGTAAAAGATTTTGTAATATCATTAAAATCAAAATTCTGATTGCTTATTTCCGATGATGTCATTGTTAACCTTGTCTTTATTTCAAATTTCGAATCGCAAATATCAGACTTTATCCGGAAGTATTATCAAAATCCAAAATCATGTACATGGCCAACATATATCTACACCTTAAATTTAACATTGGACGAGTTATTACGTCACACAAAATTATATTGAGTTTTGAATATGTTTTCGTAAATTTTTAGATTTTCCTAGTTTTACAATCAAACATTTTAATAAAAAGGGCGAATATTATGCCGTGATTGTGACCTACAAACACAAAATTCCTTACAAGTCTTGATTTTTTACACTTCCAAACATTATCCACAAATTTGATATATAGTTCTATAAAACATTTTTTTGGTCCATAAATAGCCTTAATGCTCCCACTCCTTTTAGATATATCATTCAAATGTGAAATTTGGTATGCGATATATATATTTTTGTAAAGAATAAATGTTAAATTAGGGTTTTTTACTGTCCAAATTCATATAGAAATCATACGCCCAACATTTGTTTTGGTGTCATTAGGTAAAAAGCAAAAATATTAGAATGAAAGAAAAGCATCTAATAATTACTTTACGAAAGAAAATTTTGCTTTATGTTATAGATTTTGTGGAATGATACATTTAAACTAAGAATATATATGAATTATAGACTCATACCAAGTTCCACTGAAATATTGATTGATTGTTGATTGCTTGATCTCCTTGAAAGATTGAGTGATATAAAATACAATGAAGTATTCCCTTTTGGTATAAATAACTATTGGCAGAAACATATAAATCAAATACTAAAAAACATTAAGTATTCAACAAAGAGACAGTAAACTAAGAACACAGAAATGACATATAGATGTCGGCTATCAGTCTGCATTCATTTGAAAATACCTTCAAGCGTTAAACAAGTTGTAAATGAATATATCGAAGATTTCTAACAATAAACACAAACTTTATTAGACAAACAATTAACACCCATACGAGGTTCCCGACTTGGGACAAAAGAGAGGCGAAATATACCAAAGGGATAACAAAACTCATAAGGCGAAAACGATTGACAATTCAATGATCGAAAAATGACTAGAAGAAAAACAACTGTATACAAAACACAACACAGTAAACTAAAGACTCAGCAACACGAGCCCCATCAAAACCCGTGGATGATCTTTGGTCTCCTGAAGGGTAAGCAGATCCTGCACCACATGTGACACCCGTCGTGTTGCTCATTTAGGTCAAGGAAATCGTGATAGGAAATGCAAACTCTTAATAATTCACAATGATACATACAATAAAACTAATGAAATTTTAAAGATTCCATTAGTTTTATTGTATGCATCATTTCGGTTGTTAATTTGTAGCTTAGGCTTTTTGAATGAACTAAAAACATAGAGTCTAGCAATGCATTTTCAAGGCTCGTAAATGCACATTCTGGCATTTTTTATTAGTATTTTATTATGCATACAGTACATCCGTCAAACATAATACTCACATCCTAGATACATTTTGTTACAGGAACAGATTGCTATAGGTGTTGTTGGTGGAATTATCGGCGGTTGTTTATTTGCAACATTGGTAACTGGAATACTAATATATCGAAAAGCTATCAAACCAAAACTGGGTGCCAGTAAAATCAACACTGTCAAATCAAACAGTTATCCACATCAAGAGAAATGTGATTCAAAGGAACAATTTAACAATGTTACTGCTGATTTGAATTGAATTTTACGAACAGTTCTTCATTGCCTACAAGGTACAGCCTATTGACCTAGTAGAAATGGAAACACAGTAACACTCTGACATGTTTTATTGACGAATGTGGTTTAAACATATTATAAATCACCGTATAATTTATTGAACATTGCATTTGATAGTAAACGTTTGATATTTGTAAGTTAAACTTTGTAAATATCTTTTCAGAAAACATCTGTCTAATAATTGTGTATATAACACTTGAGACTATAAAAGGGTTGCGAAATTTGAATTAAATTAATTTACAAAATCATACTTTTTATTTTTGAGTAATTTAGAATATTAATTTTAGAATTGATTTTTGCAGAGTGTGTTACACTGTCAAAAACCATTTAAACATATTATCCTTTCCGTAAAAGCCCTAACCGTTACTCCCCCGTGTTAAAACTAATTTTAGAAAACAAAAGATTATCATATATTCAGAATAAATACACAATTGTATGTTCCAATATATACGACAGGTCAAAACGTGGTCATCAGTGAAATATTCAAAACAACTTTCATTTCAAGAACTTTGCAGCTATTCCATTAAACGCAAGTTCTAATGTAAGCAGTGTTGTCAATTGTTTATATGGGTCCACTCATACTTTCGTTTTTGTTTGAAATGAATTGTGTCATATATTGTGCTTTGATTAAAATATATATCATTATAACGTATACTTATCTATATCTTAAATGTTAGTCATTCCGAGTTTATTGTATACATTTCATATAAACTAAAATTTTACCATTTGAAGCTTCAAATATACAAATAAATGCATGGCTTATGTTAAAATTCGCACTTCGGCACCTAGTGAAGATGTATTAGATTGATGTCAATTTGTTCCTGTGTAATTTACGCATATTCCCCATCTTTTTTACTGCTAATTTAAAAATAATTTTTCGTTTGTACGCTTAATTTTAATACAGACTTTTGACTTGTTTACATGAACTCTTTTTTGTAATACTTTGTTTAGAATTTAAATACCAGCCCGCAAGATTCCCTAAATTTGATTTGTATATATGTATATAGTTTAATGTTGGTGGGTCGGATCATTTTCCCATCTTAAATAAATCCTTGTCATGCATTCAGTTTTGATGATGTAAGATGATGTAATTTCGTATTAGTTACAAATTAAGAATTCATGAATAATAAAGGCAACAGTTGTATACCGCTGTTCAAAAGATCAATGAAAGTGTATAATAGAATCTTAAGAACTTGCCGTTCCGTCCATCCTTGTCTTTCATAAAATTGTTTTATGTGTAAATTGCCATGTGCGTGCGTTTATTTATCATAACATTTGATTTGAAAACATTAAATGCTTATCTTACAATAGGAGTTGAAGGTTGTTTGCTACTCTGTTTCAAAATATCAAGCTTTTTAAAAGACTGTTATAAATTGATAGTATATTAACAAAGGAATTAAGAAAGCAGAAATAAGTTAAGGGTCCGTGTGCTTGTTTTAAAGATATAAGCCATTGAAAATTAGGCTGGACATGATTCTTTGTAGAGTTTTCATAACTTAAACATTGGCTCCTTTTTACAAAAAACTATGACAAAATAACAAGTATGTTATAAGATTTCCAAACTATATGTAAATATATTTTGAAAAGGGGTTATCGGACTGACTTTTTAATGGCACCACATGAATAAAACCAGAGTATTCCGAATATCTGGCAAAATTCAAAAAGAAGAGAAAAGAACACACGTTAGTACATCCTCATTTCTCCTTTAGTTTGGTGTAAATTATATACATTTGTGTATGTACATGTATTTAAGTAGGTGAGAGATATGTTTTCATCATGTTTTGAAAATTATTCAATTGATCTGTTATAGGTATATGTAATTTCGTATTGATTGTAAATTACAATAAAATATTAGTTAGAAACTTTTACTACGTGTTTTATTTTAAAATATATGTTTACCTTGTATGTATCATGTGTGTGATTCAAAATAAACCATTGTTTTCGTCATTCTTGTTCTTGATACAAGTTTAGAGTCTGTCCTTACAAATAAGTATGAACATTTTATCTGTCATTTTGCATGGTTGTCTGTCTTAACCTCAGGTCTGTTGAACCAATTACATGAGGCAATATATTGTATACCTGATAAAAAACGTGTTTTAACGAACATTATTTAACATACCAAGAGTACAATGAAAATTCAAACAAATCCTAGTGATTATTGTAGAACGAGAAATTCTGAATCTGTTATTTTAAAATGATATGAACTTGTTTTTACAAATGAAGCACTATACTGCATTATTGTATCCATTCAATATCACTTGGTAGAGTATGCTGCTGATTCATCATAGCACATTTTTGATTACCATGGCAAGTTCAATAAGTATTTCAAGGTATAAGATAGCATTCAACACAACAATTTAAACATTTAAATCTATTAATATTGTTTTTCAATCTATCATATACATAAGGCAATATCATGCTTGTATTTATGCAGTTAACTAACTTAACACCTGGGATCACCTCCAGTTTTTGTAGGGTTCGTGGCTGAACTCAGGTGCTCCGGAATGGCAAGCAGATCTTGCTCCTCATGTGACACCCGTCGTGTTGCTCATACAATAATACATTTTCGGTAATAATTCAATTCAGTAGGTCACAGTCGGAGAAAAGAGGACGGGATTGTGAAAGATATCAGGCATTTCTGTGTCATTTGGTCTCTTGTGGAGACTTGTTTCATTGGCAATCATACCGCATCTTCTTTTTTATATTCAATGCATAATAAAATATCTTAAAAACTGAGTTGTTTTTCCTTTTACCCGTAGAATACATAGTACGATGCATGAAAGAATTTTGTAAAATATGTTTATTAGAGACATCCAGATTTCGACACATGGTATACCTTCTTTAAGTACTACACCGATCAGGCATACTTATTATGCAGTTATTCATTTTCTCAGTTGACATTTTTCTCTGTATAAAAGGTCGATATTTCAATTTAAATCACGCACACATCGTAAGAAATGCAATCTATATGTGTCCAAAAGCTTCGATATGTAAAAAAAGTATTTTAATGCCGAAATTCTAAACATCTATATTATGTAGTAAGTTGAACACATACAATAACCTGTATTCGAGTGTGTGAAAATCATAAAATAGCAAACCAGTGTAAAATGAAACATGACAATTTTGTCCGAGTCTAGAAAAGAATTTTCATCACAAAATTGAGCATAAAAATAAAAAGATGTGGAATGATTGCCAATGAGATCACTCTCCCCACGAGACCAAATGGTACTGAAATAAACAACTATAGGTCACCGTACGGCCTTCAACAATGGGTAAAACCCATACCGCAACGTCAGCTAAAAATAGCCCAAAATGACAAATGTAAAACAATTCAAACGAGAATATAAACGGCCTGATTTATGTACAACAAAACGAACGAATAAAAGATATGATATACAGCAACAAATGACAACCACTGAATTACAGGCTCCATAATTATATGAGAAAACATAATGCTTAGTTCTAAATGAAAAAGCGGTCTGCCATCCTCTTGCAATCAACTAATGGTAAATGTGGGTGTTTTGTTTTTGCGAGGTCCTCATGCATTCTCATTAAAAATGACTTGAAGATAATAAAGACAAAAATATATTCATCGGTATCATAGATATGCGACATACATTTAAAACACTATTTAATCCTTTCAGAACCGTTAGAGAGTTATAGTTTAAGTTTTAACATAATGAAAATGCATTGTCCCTTTTTTACAAAACCCCCACATTTTCCCTATGCTTGAACTGAATCGTTATCTTATCCAATAGTACATAATCAGTATGCTTTTTTGGCCCTTTACTTATATCAGCTTATTATAAAGTGATTGTAAGGCTACGTTATTTGGAATGTGTTTGTTTGTAGTTTAACCTTATAGTATGTAGTAAAGTAATATGCATAGTAAATTCCATTGGAGTTCAGTATTTTTGTTATTTTTCTTTTTACTGTAAATAGCTGTTAATCGTCTACTAGCAAACTGCTCAAAGAAAGAAATAAGCTAAACAAAACCATAAGGAGCCCTTGTTTGTCTTTGTGTTAAGTGTTATAGCCATAGCCAGAAACGTATTATCTGAATCATGAATTTTACCTTAAGAATTATAATTTGAAGCCGCTCAATTCCCTTGTCGGGCAGAAAAACTGCTTCACTGCAATGAGGATCAATGATGAGTCAATGATAAGCAGTTTTGAATCCGTGTTGACTAAAAGGTAAAATTTGGTTTAAACATTTAAATTTTTTTTAAATTATTAATAGTACTTTGTCTTCCAAACTCCTTGTAATTAAAATCGGTTACAGAGCTGGAAAAAGTATTAAATAAAAGTAACCCATAGTTTTCTTATTTACTTCTTATCAAAGATCTATCTTGCAGCGAATCCGTTTTTGTACCAATATACTTCCCATCGTGATAAATAACTTGTTTTTGATTGAAATTTTAAATCAAGTTTGGGCTTTCAGAAGTGGGTTTTTAAAAAGTCAAATATGCAGTAATACATCAACAAGAAAAGTTGTTAGTCTACAAATGAGGCTAATGATACAAAAGCGACATTTAAATGAATAAAATGACAACGCCATGACAATAACGAAAAACGCCGAAAGGAAAAACAAGTTAACAAACCCAAAACTCCTAAAATGAAATAAGGGATCATCAAATAACAGAATAATCATGTGAAATAATATTTAAATGTTCAAAAACGGAGAGCATCAAGAAAACATTGTAAACAAAATTGAGCTCTTTTATACTCAAATGGTGATTCAGTTAACATACAAAGTTTAAATATACAGGGGTATAAAGAAAACAATGTAACGAGAGTCTGTTTTTCACTGCTTCGTTGTCTTTTCGTTGTCTACCCAAAATCTGGGATATTGGTAAAAAAAGTAAAAACCAATTGATCAGAGAAACTGATTCCAAAAATATATGATCTCTATATACTTTTACTAAAAATAAGGCAGATAAGTAGGTATTTCCGGTTTACAAAATGTTAGTTCCTGTTTCATTTCATCATGGCTTCCCTCTTATTTCGAAAAAAAGTTCTAGTACTTCTTACATGAAAAAAATGCAAAATGGTTACTTCCAGTTAACAAAAGATCACTTTCTTTTGAACTTCTTTGTCTTATGGCTGCAACCCAATGTAAAAGGCCCTATGACTTTATCATTAACCATAAGAAGTTTCAACAAAGGTCAAAATCAAGAACGTCAAATAAAACTTTGACCTCGATTTGACTTTAAAGGTCATAAAGCAAGGACCTCAAACCAAAGACCCTACGTGTTTATTATATATGGTTTATGAGTTATATACGAAATTTAAAATATAAGAGGGTTGACAACTCCCATTAAATGTCAACGTACCCTTTCAACCAAAATTTATGTGTTACGACCTGTCGCACCTAATAATTAAGAAAAAATATTCTGTCGATATCTTATACAGTTTTTGAAAAGAGTGATAATAAGCCAAAATCAAAATTTAGAACATGACCCTGACCTTTGACCTTGATATTATTTTCTTTTTGGTGGTCCAAGGACCTTAAATCAAAAGGCCCCAGGTTTCTATTACTTATGGTTTACCAGTTACAATTGCATATCACTTATATCAAATGCATTAGGGAAAATAACTCTCATATGAGGTCTCCGGATCCCTTCGGTTAAAATTATTCTCCATATCTTGAGGATTTAACGAGCAATTTGGTAAAATACATTTGTCGTAATCTTTAAGGGGTTGCTAAAGAGTAGTGGACACAAGGAAAACAGTGATTGGGGACATACCTCTTACAAAGAAAAGTATTCGGTTAAGCAATGTCAGTTTCAAAAGCGCATAAACTGTTCGATATCATATACCAAACATCTAAGCGACATCTTGTGAAACAACAATACTGCGTAAGAAAAGAAAATTAGGCAGAAAAAAAAAAATAATAATCAGAAAAAAATCAAAGGTCTTTCCACGGAAAAGTGGAAAGACCTAATAACAAGTAATAAACCTTTATAGAAAATTTTCAAATAGTATTTTAAGTTAAAAAAGGGTTTTCTTAAAGATTAACATTTAATACTAAAAATATTATTACCATACAACAAAATGGAAAAGGAGCAGAAAAGAAAAGAACTTATTTGGTTAGATCGTTAAAAACTAATTGCTATCAGAATGTGTATTTTCTAAATTCTGCCTGTAAACAATTATCTATAGATTAATATTACGCTCATATTTAGCAAAAAACATATTACATGTTTATTTAGTCTTTATTATCCCCTCTCACGTTCCTCCATAGTTAGAGAAGCTATAACTAGTTGAGCAATAATGTTTTATATCTCACAACGTAACCTCTTGTATGTAACCTCGGCTATATTGAATAAAGTTAACATATGGTCAGCCGCAATATAATGCTGTTAAAAATTGTCTTGACAAAGGCACATTACAAAAATTTCATATCATCATAATCAACACCAGAAGCTTCGGTTAACTCTAGATAATCTCCAGATGATCTCTCCAAAATCTTGCACAAGTAAAGTTTGGAGGAATGTCTTTCTATATTATATAAATAAATCTGGCTAATCATGTTTTGAATTAAGTTCAATGTCTGCAGTTGTGTTTTATTATTTCTTACATTATGTGTTCTTTTAGAAAATCTCAGTTTAATGCACCTGGTATTTGTTGTCTTATTGAATCGTAATTGAATAAACATTCTTATTGATTTCTGAAAATAAATTAGGATTCCAATTGCAAATATATTGACATAAAATTCAAATCCTGAATGTTTATTGCTAAAGTAAACATCTTTTTTACCAATAATAATTTTAATAAGAAATAATAAGAGGCACAATTTTTTGGTAGAAACAAGAATAAAAATTTTGCACAAAAAAAGCAAGTTTAAAATTGTTGATTTTATTTATAGAGGAGTATAAATCTTTTAGTATACACAATTTTCTATTATTCTAGTCATCAAATACCTATATCAGTTATTCAATCATGAAGTTTTGGGTTTAATCTACTTGTTGAAACAATGTGTATGATATACCTTGTGAAGAGCTATTTTAATTATAGTGGTCTCAATAAAAGATAAAACGTAGTATATTTTTAAATCTGAAGTTTAAAATTTACACTTTAGATAATGGACATCTAATACAATGCTTGAATTAAAAAGAAAAAAAACTAACTTGGAATTTCTCAAAACGGTGTAAGTCTGTTGTCAGAGAATATTGTATTGATACAGACAATATAATGTCAAATCTCGATTGAAATAAATGAAATCCCGTCAATAGTGTTTCTGATCATTGGTGTTTACAGGATTGGCTGAAGCAATACACAAAACAGGATACAAAATATTAAAGATAATTATATATATGTGTCCTATAAGTAAGACGTTAACGCAGACTTATTAATATGGATATCATATATGTTTACAAATACTAATTCGTTGTAACAGATCTTTTAATGACACCAAGGTATTAGATCTTTTGTTAGCAATATAGTATGTATAGTAATATTTAAAAAATTCTGCCAAAAGATGACAATAATTTATTTCAACAAGGTAATTGGGGTGACTTTAATTTATAAACAATTTTTGTATTCATATGTTATTAGGACCTAACTGAAAGAAGAATTAAACAAAACGTAGTAACAATACTAACCAGGAAGTGTCAAGAAATATAAATCAGCCATTGGTAATATGTTTTTGACATGAAATGACTTCTAAATGTAAGTATCTGTTTGTGCTTGCTGTGTCAATGGGTTCCTGTCTAAAAGACCTACATCCAACATTTTCATTAATATATATATGGTTGTATATATATATAAGTGCCTAAGAATGTAACTTTAACACACTAATGAGTGTTATAAAATTAGTTGTTATATTTTATATTATTCACGCAATATTTCGCTAAAAGGTTGTTTAATATATATATATATAATTCAAATATCTAATTTTTTTTTAAATTAATGCTTTACGGGGAAAAAAAACGAAAACAACAATCTATAAATGTCATTCGTTCGAAGCTCTTTTCTCGATTTACATTGATCAGGAACGCTCACGCCAAATATTTGAAAGCCAAGGATATATAAGAACCGAAACAGTTGAAGAGCATTATGACCAAAAAGGAACTAAACTAATAGCCAAATCCATTGATGGTCAACTTTGCATGAGGGAGTTGAAACCATAATTTCTTTATAATTTCGAAATGTATAAACGGACGATTTTAGAAATTGATAACTGGAATTTCTCAACATAATGCAGAGTTAATAGACCACGCAAACCATCAACACCCTACTATCAATAGTTTTAAATATAAACATCAAAAAATTATTTCTATCTTTATCTAAAGTCTAAATTCAAATGAAAATACAATGCTTTGAATCTTAAAAAAAATGTATTCATGTTGGGATCTCTTTAATCGATTTAGATTGTGATTTTCGAGTTTTTGATTCTTGAAAGTTAAGATTGAAACATATGGAAAAAATATAATCGAAGTCACCTCCAAGTCACCAGTTCGGATACAAAAAAAAACGCACTGTCAGAATTTTTAGACAAAGAATAGGAACAGTTGGCAAATGGTAAATAGTGCCGAGATGGAAGACTGAATAGTATGACATAATTTTAATATAATTTCATTGGGGTCTTTGTAAAAATCTTTGAATTCAAATTCTAGAAAACATCATCATGATAATGCCAATAATAAGGGCATTCATATGGATGATGATACTGCAAAACCATCCATCGATAGGATTTCCACCAGATGCCTTAACCGGAAGTGCCTCATATACTAAACACCATGCAGAAATAACACGTGTTGCCATTCGGATTGCTGTTGGTAGATATATAAAGGATAACAACTTGACAGTGATAGATGATACAACCGATGTAATTGACGCAGTGAATACATTCTTCGGAAATGGTTAGTTCGTACGTGTATCATACATGGTTTATCTGTTTCTTCACAAGCGTATTTTGTACTCTGTTAAGGTTCCCCCTTATTTGGTAACATAATTGTATCGGTTGGGATATTTCATCAAAATGCCACACATCATTAAATCTGTTATTGAATATCCTTTTGATAAAGATTTAAACAAAAACAACCCAAAGAGGTTAATAGCTTGTCATATACATTATTTATAACACTGAAGTTTGTTAGATGAACATCTGTAAAGTCTTGGTCACTTCAAGATGACTTTAAATTGCAGTGTAATGTTTTCTCGCGACAAACACACTATACATTCTGCATTTGTTCAATTAGTCGTAAATATAAGATTAAATTAGCTTGCTTATTATATTGGAAAACGAGGACCGATTGTTTTCTGTTTTTTTTTTTTTTTTTTTTTTTTTGGCTTTATAAGATTGCGGGGTTTCATACTCACATGATTTTAAACAGCTCCATTCGCATTTTCTTATATAAAAAGAGACAGAATATACGAAGAGGACAATCAGAAATCACTAGTCGTAGAAAAACAAACAATACCATGGCCAAAGAAACAAAAACGAGGAAAAAACAAGAAACAGTCTACAAAACAAGGCACATACAATAAAAACTGAACAATTCATTTCTGGGGATATCTCTATTCTCTTATCAAATGTTGAACATGCATAACATACGCGGATGTTTTTAATGATTTTTTACATTGCATTTGATTTATACTTCAAACTGCTTTGATGCAGACTCCACTGATATGATGATTCTTATGTAGACAAAATCAAGTATGGCGTCACAAAATATAAGCCTAGTATCTTTGATGATTTTTTTACATACTTCATACAACATTATATCATACCTTATCTAATCTGGTCCTTAACGTTCATTTTCGCATTTCGAAATATTTTTTAAATACAAAATAGTCCAATTGTAGTAATAACTTGAAACTTTGAATTCTTTGATACAATATGATAGTTTTCATTTTTACTTTTTCGTAATCCTTTCATATGTTTATTTTTTGGATAAGTGCGTTTTCTGTAATGATTTTTATTGCATATAAAATAATGCTGTAGTATGATTACCAATCAGACAACTAGTCATCATCATAAAAAAAATGGATGCAGGCAAGTATAGGTAATCGTATGGCACTCAATAATGAGCCGTATTGTATATTTTCTTTTATTTTCGTTTTGTTAATCTGTTGATCAAAAATAAAAAGGAGGAGTGTAGAAATCTTACAAAACACTGTTCTAGCTAATTTATTTACCACATATCCATGTGCCTGTCACAGACAGATATATTGTTCGTGGTTGTCTTCTGTCATATTGTAATGTTTTCTGTTGTTTTTGATCAATTAATGGCAAATGTTTGTTTTGTTCTATCAAATTTGTACAGCTTTGATAGACTAAGATGATTAAGAGCTTGATATATATTGTGGAGACACAAGTCTATTTCAGATGAATGCATGTAGCCTTCAAGATAGCTGTTGGTCATTTTCGTCGTTTTGTTGCTGTTTCATTGAAGTATATCTATCTTTCATTATCATCCCATTACAAATTAAACACATAATTTCAGATTCAGATGGATATGAGAAATTCATTGAAAAGGAAACTGATATAATAGAAAATGTAAAGGATCAGGAAAAGTCGAAAGAAGCTCATATTCACTGCAATTCTGAACAGATTGAATTGGGTAAGACGGTTTATATTAACATGCCTATAGGTATAAAGCTTTTTGAGACATTCACATACAAAATATTTGTTGAATGTATCAAAGTATTAGACGAAATTACTCAATCAACTTCTGACCAAACCTATGTCCTATGATATTACATTGTGTAATTATCATGATGAGCTTGTAATGAATGCCCTAATTTAGTATGCGACTACTTTGAAGTCTTAATCAATTTGTTGGGCCAATATATTGATCATCTTTGATTAATTTTAAAACTATTTATATATGAATGCATTTTCCAATTGGTTATATATCGTCTATGGCATATTTAGTGTGAACAAGTATTTGAAATAAACATAATACTGTAGCATATAGTGTTAAAGAAATGTGTTTTCAGAGAGAGTTTCTTTAATACATCTATAAGCATATGGAATTAGTATACCAGTCAATCCTTAATATATTTCAAGGAGATTTATTCTTTAACCTCCAAAACTGATAAAATGCAGCTTAATGACTTTTCATGTTTAATGACAGTAGATAAATATCGTTTAATTATATCATATCATTATATATTATATGTACTTTTCAGCTCACAACCATGTTATAAAACTGAGAAAACAAATTGAGACGTTTGCACAAAGTACGGAACCAGATCTTTCTTTGATACGCAAAATGATTGGAAAGTGTATTTACACAATACAAGCTTTTTACAGCGGAACTAATTGGGTTGAAATGAATGGGGGGAATATTTACAAAGATTTCGGTAAGCTGCAGTATCAATTACAAAGTGCATTATGGACGCAATATTCCAAACGCCCTAAGTGTCTTCATAAAGTTGCTCAAAATATCTCTTTACAGTAACATTTAAAAAACGCCAAATGATTACGTGCATACGTTAACAAACATTTTTTTAAATTGAAAATGTTTGAGCAAATAAAAATCGAAAGGGTGATACACAGAACATGAGCAAAACCTATAGGTTATTGTGTCTGAGAAAACTGCAATTGCACATAACACTTAATAAAATCATGCACTGGAAGCCCTTGTCTGAATTTTCTGTCACATAGGACGCTTAAACCAAAGCATTCGAAAACTAATGATGTATAAATAAGACTAATGCACATGAAGAGCTACATGAACAAAATTGATTTTGAAAACAGCCATGCGCATGCGGTCAACTTTGGCGTAAAGAGTTGAAACCTTATTTTAATATTAAAAAGATGTTTTTAATATTTTATACGATAGGGTCGTGTGTTTTTGGAAAACTGAATTAAACCCACGAAATGTATAAAAATTCATATATGCATATCGTGATACTGCAGGTTTTTTTTTAACAGCGCATAACAGTTATACAAAGAAGCAAATAAAAGTAATCATTATTCATAAAACTTTATATGATGGCTAATACTAATGTCTTGTTAATATTTCTTTCTGTGTCACAGGTGTTCAAAATAAGGCTTTAATGACTGTTGCGGGCACATCGGTGGACACTTGCCAAGATTGTGACAATTCTGGGTAGGTAGAATGTGGAAGTACTTGTATAATATGCAGGTTGGAGTTAATACGCACTTTAATATCAAAATGATAATAATTCAATTATTGAAATGCATAAGCAATCTACCTGTTGTAACTAGATATAACAAGGAACATACTTGATCTCTGATCGACATACACTAACGTGTATATACTATTATATAGCGGGATTTATATGCATCAGAAATAATGCATGTATTGTAGAAATTGTTTTCCTTGTTCAATCACAAGGTAGCACTCAAGTGTGAGTTCATACGAGTTTGATTGTTTCCATTCCTATGATTGGTTGCAATATTTTAAACGTGCAATTTTATTTAAGAAAATTTGTCATAATTGTATAATTGAAATATACAAGGAAAAGAATTAAAAAGATTCTATAACAATACAATTTAAAATTAATAAAAAAATATGTTTTCCCAAATCTAATAGCAATTACAAAAAAATGAAATGAAATGATATCTACAAATGGCAATCATACTACATCATCTTTTAATATATTTGAAAATAGGAAAACCAACTGAAATAGGAGAAATATATGTCTCCAAAATAACAATCTTCCTCACTCAAATATTCATGAAATACAACTAGTATGTTAAAAACTAATTACATTTTATCTCATTATAAGTACCTTTCAACACGCAGCATAAGGTTACACACAGCTGCAAAACAAGGACGAATGATAGTTCCAGCCTCAGCATAATGCATTGTTAAATGTTAATCGCACGTCGTATTTGCATTGAAGATTAAAAGTAATAACAAAACATAAACTTAAAATGGCAAATACTGCCAATCTAAAAACAAAAAGCAACACAAACATATACACAATACTGCTACAAATACAGCTGTTTGTTTATTTATTTAGCTCACCGAGGCCCGAAGGGCCCCATGTAAGCTTATGCCATCACTTGGCGTCACTCGTCGTCCGTCGTCTGTCGTCGTCGTCGTCTGTCGTCGTCGTCGTCGTGTGTTGTCGTCTGTCGTCGTCTGTCGTCGTAAACTATTTCAAAAATCTTCTCCTCTGAAACTACTGGGCCAAATACCTTCAAACTTTAACTAAATGTTCCTTAGGGTATCTAGTTTATAAATTGTATCCGAAGTATTGATCCATCGACAAACATGGCCGCCATGGCTAAAAATAGAACATAAGGGTCAAATGCAGTTTTTGGCTTATATCTCAAAAACTAAATCTTTTAGAGCAAATGTGACATGGTGTAAAATTGTTTAATTGGTCAAGATCTATCGGCCCTGAAATTTTCAGACGAATCGAACAATCCATTGTTGGGTTGCTGCAACCAAATTGGTAGTTTTAACAAAATTTTGCAGTTTTTTGTTATTATTTTGAATATTATTATAGATATGTAAACTGTAAGCAGCAATAATGTTCAGCAAAGTAAGATCTACAAAAAAGTTAATATGACCAAAACTGTCAATTGACCCCTTAAGGAGTTATTGCCCTTTAAAGACAATTTTACACAATGTTTTCATCAAGTTTGCTAACATTTAAAAATCTTCTCCTCTGAAATACAGGTGAGCGATTCAGGCTCTTGAGAGCCTCTTGTTTAATACTCAGGCTTTCCCATCCATAAGTAAAGATGGACCTAGCCAGATTTGGCTGATTTTAAAAATTTGTGTCAATGAATTTGATCTGTTTATTTGGTTAAGCCTTCCTATTGTATTAATAATAGCGAAACTAACGATTCTTGTGTAGACGAAAATTACCTCCTGTTTACAAAAGTATAAGCCTGCTATCCTAGTAAGACATGTGGTGCAAGTAGTGCAAATAGATTTTTGATTAAAATAAAAACACCGATGAAGTTTTACACAGAAGAACATTTTTCAAAGTTACGCGATAACAAAAACAAAACAAATACAGGAGTGCGAACCTCAATATGCTCAAATACGTAGACATGTTGACAACATTTATATGTATTGAACATTAAACTTTGTCAATTAAATGAAAAAGGAAGAGATATATCAAAATCCCTAAACGCACCTCAAAAAAATTGGAATAGGAACAGGGAGCTTTTAATGATTGTTAAAACCCTTATTTTCTTTTTTAAGGACTAATGATAACTCCTGCGAAAACAATTTGTTGGTGACTGATCTGTTAACTAGTGGATACCAGACAGGACAGGATGTTCAACCTCCATATAGTATGTATATACTACAGACAAAATGAACCAACAACTGTTTTTGTTTACTCTATCACCTAATATATGTCAAAATACGAGTGATATACCAACAAGTGCATTGCATAGTTTTTTTTTCTGAATTCCATACTTTTCAATCGGACGGTGATTTAAAATGATGTTTTATGTCCAAACACAATGTTATATACATGAATGCAATTGCTCTGTTGACAACACAACATTAATAAGTCGGAATATTACAACATCACAAACAAATCAGTTGCGTAATTTAATGGTTTCAACATTTAATATAATTATAGAGTTGAATGCTTCGTTATAAGCCAATCTGCGCTTCATTTTAAATATGAATCAAATCTCGTATTTTTAATCCTATGAAACTACAATTAAAGAATTAATAAAATCAAAATTACAATCTATAATAGTGTATCAGATGTCTGGATTTAACTTCATATAGGACATTCACGCAAACCAATTTTTAATCCAAGAATGTATACACTCACCTATTTTTATCGACCGCGAGAGGGCTTACTAACCATTTAAGGACGTAAAATATACACCCACTAGACATATTGTGTATATTTCAATAATTTAATTATACAACGGAGTTATTAAAGCCAATCCCTGTTAAAACACTACTCTTGTCCAAACAAAAATTCATATGTTGCATTTAGTAAGAGCACGTACGAGTTACTATGAGAACGTTTTGTTATTCAACGGATTGCGATAAGCATAATGTAGAATGAAAAAAAGAATCTCTTTAGTTACTTCTCTCTTGTTCCAAACGATCAATGATGTCAAGTCAGAAACTAAATCAGTGGTTATCTTAAGAACTTTATTTTAGGTTGTTTTGTCCTTTAAGGATTTCGTGTTGATGGCATATACTTGCTTTCTGATTTGATTTCCTGAACATAGGATTCACAATCAGAGCGATTCATAGCTTGCCATATGGTAAAACCAGAGGTTTATTATAATAATCAGTAAAAACCTTGGTGTCTAATGTGGTTTGTATGTGTTATTGGGTGATTTACATACAAAACAGCTCGTTTAAACAAAACGAACTGATAAGAATAAAGACAAATTTTTGTATTGCTATTCATTCGATTAGATTCATTTTCAAATACAAGATGAAGACAATATGTATAGAACATATAGTCCATGTTATTGTAGAAACGAATGACAACTTTAATCAGGGAAAGTGTGGATTTGGAGGCAGTACTGACACAGAAAATGGTTATCGAACTGCAAAAGGTGGAATAAACAAAGATAGATTAGACCCTAAGTACTCACCTCATCACCATCTACATTATGAAGCATTTATTGCTGCACGAAAGGCAACAGAACAATTTCTAGTAGATCAAGGTATGATTTGTGTAACTTAAACATTAATTTATTTGACATTGTCATATTTATAGAACAAACATTGAAAATTAACTTATGCTATGGGCCATATTTACATACCAATTGATTAAGCAACATATATTTGAGCAAAGTCTTATTCAGTTTCTGTTTTAGACAATTTTCGACAAAATAGAATGTACATGTATGATGCATTAAATAACATATCTAATGATCTCATACACAAACAATTATTTTGTTACAGATATAGGTATCATAAACGAGTTGAATGTAGACACATTTGCACAGGTATTTGGTTTGGTTAAGCGATACCAGGCGTCATTTGGCTTTGTGATAGACGACACTGGCTCTATGGGGGACGAAATTGAAGAAGTTCGAAAGGCATGCATAGACATTATAACTAATGTTTATGGTACTCCAAATGCGCCATCCAATTACATTTTAGTTACGTTCAACGACCCAGGTAAGTGTTATAACAATTATGAGAAAAGAAACAATAAGAAATGAATACATGAATCCTGATACAACAGTTAAAGGTAACCTGAATAGTACTTCAGTTATTAGAAACCCAATTTCCAAGTGAACATTCAGTCTGCCGTATTTTTTTCACCTTTGTACACATTTGAATATCATACATTGTTGCAGAGTGAAATAATCATTTTGGTGTTGTTTTGGACAAGGTTATGTATATCAAGGTGTTACTAGTCATGATATCTATTTGCAACTCCCGACCACTAGCTTTCATGGAACGTTTCTAATAGGTGACTAATACAATCTCATGGATGAAGGCAATTAAAACATCGCCAGATAAAGCAGAATAAACCCACACAAACACAAAATACAAGAATACATTTCATTTTCTACAAACCATCTCAAGCGTATTCATTATTCTTTCAAAAGCTGAGGCGATTCAAAGGGGCAATGCAAAAATAGTGATCAGTGCAATAACACAAACAACAATTTGACTAGAAATTTAAAGGCAATTTGTGATAAAGAATACTCATCGGTATATAAAACACTTTTTTCTAAAAGCTAGTCTAAACGTATCTTGGATTGTTTTAGAGGTCGTTATGAACATATCATGGAAATAAGAAGATGTGGTATGAGTGCCAAGGAGACAACTCTCCATCCAAGTCACAATGTGTAAAAAGTAAACAATTATAGGTCAATGGGCTGCCTTAGATTTAGTGTGTGATCTAAAAAGACTTTATTGGTTTAAGTACTTTATTTGTGTTGCTAAATTTGAATTATTCGGTGTAATGTTTTGCGGGTTGATTTTTTCTATCCCTCCATCTTTTTAAAAGTCTTGGGGATGTCATCCTTCCTCGACATATGTTGTTGATGGCATCCTGAAAGTCATGTTCCGTCTGTTAAGAATCCTGTTTAGATCCCTCCATTCTTTAAGCATTTTGATTTAAGTATTATATTCTGGTAAACCAACACAGCACTTACAGTTGGCCTTTAATTGAATTCAATTGCAACTGTACCAATTGAACTAAACCAAAATCCCTTTTTGGCAATTTATTGATTCATAAAAGTTATAATGAGGCCAAACTATCTGAGAACCAAATGTGCATAGATATATTGAAGAGTTTATATTACCAAGAAGGACCAAACATGTTGTTTCAGCGCAAGAAGGAATTGCAACTGTTTTGTAAGTTTTACAACAACAAATTGCAATACAAATTATCTGCTTTAACCGATTTATTTGGCTGATGATACCTTAGAATACTGACTGTCCATCGTCAGAGGTTAGTACCAAGTAGAAGTCATCACATCTAATGTATTGTATAAAAGATATACGAAAAATACAAAAGGGATATGTAAACTCATAAGTTGAAAACAAGCTGACAACGCCATGACAAAAAAAAAAAAAAAAAGAAAAAAAGACCAAATGAAAATTAAAAAAAAAACAACACAAAACACAACAAAGAATATTAAAAATTGAGGATCATGAACCCCACCTAAAAATCGTGTGTGATTTCAGGTGCCCCGGAAAGGTAAACTGATCCTCTTCCACCTGCAATAATTTTAATTTAGTCCCTTTGTCCTTTTTTCTGATTAAATTCTAAATTTATTTTTAAACAATATTAGTATTATAAACGTTATTTCGAAAAGCTTGTTGATAATATTATTTGTTTTCAAATTATGGCATTTGCAGTGAAGCATATTCATCGCCTAACGACCAAAAACGGACTAGAAATGATAAGTGCACTTGGTAATCTGAGTGTAGTTGGAGGCGACGACTGTCCAGAGTATGCAATGAGTGGATTAGAGAAAGGTATAACATTTATATATAATATTTGGATATTGTTTCCATTTTAACATACATTTCGCAGCCATTTATTTTAATAGAATGGCACATTTCCCTCAATTGCATGATATAAAAACTGACATGTTCATAACGACCTCTTAAACATAAAAAAATACGTTCAGACAACATGGACAAGCTTCTGGAAAAAGTGTTATTTTAGGAAACGCTTTTGTTTATGTAAACATTGGTACATTTTATTGATTTCAATATACATGTATTCATTATAAGAAGACGCTTATAACAAAAAAAAATGTAGCTGTTTTGATTTTTAAAGCTATTGACTTATGCCAAGAACAATCCACTATATTCTTCTATACTGATGCTCCAGCAAAAGACGAAGCAGAGAATAAGACTGTTATAGATGCTGCAAAAGAGAAAAATGTTGATCTTCGACTTTTCTTGCAGAATGATATGTGTGATGCCCTTCGAAAGAAAAGAGCTACTGGTAAAACGATTTTATACTTATTTCAAAATAAAATTTTGCATAACCTGTAGAGGAAAAACTTTTTAATGGTCGTATTTTTTCCAATTTACTTATCCTAAACAATCTTACTTATGTAAATCTTAAACAAACAGTTTTTTCGATGGTTTCAATTTGATTCAAACAAATCTTTTGCCTTTTATTCACACCCCTTAAAATACTTTAAAAAAAAACCAAAAACACCTTTCTAGAGTTGATATGCTAATGAGGACAAAAAGGGCAAACTCTGCTAGTCAAGCTCATAGTTTATTTGGAAATATAAGTCATGTTTTTCTGGGATATCTAAAATTATTTAATTTGAAATTATTTACTCTATTCACTTAATAAAAAAATACACACCTACATACATCATGAAAGATGCAGCAAACAGTCATACACTCATACAAAAAATATTGAGTAATGTGGTCTCCTACTATGAATGTGGACTATTACGTGTCATTACAATTACATTTATTTCATTCAAGGTCGAACAAAGCGTGATGTGGGATCAGATGTATATTCTCTAGTGGCAGAAGGAACAGGAGGTGCAGTTTACAGATTTGATACAGCGGAACTGGGTGAAATGATGAAACAGATAAGTGAGGTATGAACAGTTGATGAGGGAAAGTGAGATTGTAATAATGTATTTTACATCTGTTTGCTTTCTTAAATAAAATATAAAAAGATGTGACAAGACTGCTAATGAGACAACTATTCATCCGAGACCAACTGACGTAGATGGTAGTAATTATAGGTCAACTTACGAGATAACCGAAACCTCACTGTAAGCTATAAACAATCCTGACATGTCAAAATTTTAAGCAATCCAAACAAGAAAAACAAACGGCCTTATTTTTTTTTATAAAATAACAAACGATATGCAGTAACAGATTACAACTACTGAATGATATGCTCCTGACTTGGAACAGGCACATACATAATTCTGCGAGGTTAAACATACAATGGTGTAACAGCACAACATAATAACAGACTTTAAAAATCAGTTGAAAAGAGCATGACTCATCAGATTGATATCTAAACATTGTTACACTTTATCACATATACCTTTGCAAAATGAAAATCTAGATAAATTACCTTTTGCTTATACATGTATTTATTTATTGTCTTATTGTGAAGTGTATGCCACCCAGGGGAACCAATCAGTTTAAACTAATTTGCAGTAAAGCAAACAAAGTTTGGAACTGTACATTTTTCTTCTTTTTCTGTTGTGAAAAAAATCTTAGTAGAATGAAGGCTAATTTGTCATCAAGATGTTGTACATCAATACACAAATATCATGGCCTGACATGCTGAATGTTTATTCAGAGAAGGCGATCCACATTGTTTGTACGTTTTATTACTTAAAGATGCAAAGGGAATATGAGGACAAGGACATACGACTTAGGGGAACGCTATTGTAATTCAATTTTGGGATGTACAAATTAAAGCATTCCTGTTTAATGCATTACCTTCAGGATGTCCAATCATACATAAAGATAAGAAATATTTAGGTCAATTTAAGCGAGAAAAATAACAAATAATTCATTAATTGATATTTAAAAAAATTATCATCCCACTTTCTGTTAACAATATAATATAAAAAAAACGTTCTTTTGTATTGAAAGTGATGCGTTGCCTTTAAAAGAACAACTTTCCTCATAACGCAAATTAGATATGCTCAATTACACTGTGTATAAGTAAGATGGATATGAGAACTTTTGTGAACACAAGTCCCATATATAGAGGGTAATAATGTTATTTTTATTGTTCCGCAATATGTAGTTTTCTGTGTAATGCAATGTTATTGTTTTTTGTCGCTCGTCGATAGTTTTTCCTTACCCCTTACGCTTATTCTTCTTTTTCAAGTCAATATACTGATTGTGTGACTAAAATTGTTCATACGAAACAAAAGCACAGAATATAGTGAAACATACTGAATGTCCAGGATATGGCGTAATATTGTGGTATACTCATTAGTAATTGTTGGATACAAGTTACTTTTGGATTTCCTGGGTTAAGATGAACCAGGAATTTAGATTTCAACGAAGTTCAAATTACTCGTTGGATTGTATGCAAACTTTTGCAAAACCTTGAAATCAAGTACATGAAGTATCAACACAAAAATAAATTTTCTTCTATCAACAAAATTGGTATCCACAGTATATATCTTTATTACGTTGAACAGTTCCAATGTTGTTACAGCAAATTGCATTTAATACATTAAAGTTAAATGAGTATATGTTTAAATGTGATAACAAAATCGCAAGAGACATCCATAGAAAAAAAAGCGGATATGTGTATATGTTTTAACACAAGCTGAACGTCTTCACTGTAACGTCAAACCGATATAAAAGTAAGAAGATGTGGTATGATTGCCATTGAGAGAATTATCCACATGAGTTCAAATGAAGTGGCTGTAAGCAATAATGGGCAATCCTACGGCCTTCAACAATCAGTAAAACCCATTACATGAAATTCAAACAATAAACTTTACATTCTGTTTTTTTCTTAATTAATTCTATTTTTTCATGTTTTAGGAGCTTTTTCCATCAGCAACTGCAATTGTGGACATGTTCGAGCTCAAGGAAGATGACGATAATTCTATTTCGTTTCCAGTCGATTCAATGTTAAATAATATTAAAATCACAGTGGTTGGTGCTACTTCTGCTGCTGATGTTGATGTTGAATCTCCATTTGGTAACTTTAACTTCAATGTTTAATATCTAAAAGACAATTTCCCTGAAATACAATTAAGATATCGTTAAATTGTCAACAAGGTAAAAGCCCAGAAAAACTTGCAACACAAACAAAAACAAAGTTGATAAAGGAAGTTGGTTCTCTTGTGTTGGTTTATAGTTGAATGCAGATAAACTTATTTAAGAAAGCTCTGAGTTTGGTGTGATTTATGTACATTGTTTGGTTTCAGGTTACTCCTATCATGAACTATAACCAGTACATGTAGTTGGCGGTTGCTGTGGTCGCTGTACTGGTCAATATATTTGGCAATACCCGTTATCTTTATCATGTATTATCAGTTTTCTGCCCAAAAAATAGTAAAATGATATAATGGGTTTTCCTTTTATTATTACATTATATTATTACATTATATTGACATACCAGGTGCCTTTCTGTACTACAGTGTCCGGACTATATTCTTCTGTATTTTTGGCAATGATTAGCATTATTTTGAAAGGCTTGAATACTTTACTTTATACAATCTCAGAGTCCGTAAAACGGTTCTTATCATAATCCCACATTTAAATTCTTAAAAAAAAAAAAAAAAAAAAAAATATTAATCTAAAATTGAAGATTTGTTTTCAACAAATGGAATACATTATTTTCTTTTTCCAGCTTATAGACTTATAGACTTAAACAATTGCATCAACAGATATTTAACCTAGTGTTTTATTTTATATCTTTAATGCTTTGTATGTTATCATGATTTTCTCTGAACAAAATAGTTCTTCGACTAGATAAGATATATCAGTTCATATAGGAGATTATTATGAAGAATGAAAAGAAGCTAGCATTATCCTTTTACTCGACTTTCCGCTATATGGATGATGTCCTTTCACTAAATAATTCAAATTTTGGTGACTATGAATAACGCACCTATCCCGTCGAACTTGAAATAAAGGATACAACAGATACAGTTAAGTCTGCCTTAGATCTTGACAATGAGGGTAGGTTGAAAACAAAACTGTACGACAAAAGAGATGATTTCAGCTTCCCAATTGTGAACTTTCAATTTCTATGTAGCAACATTCCAGTACATATGGAGTATATATCTCCAAGTTGATACGATATGCCCGGCCTTGCGTTTCCTATCATGATTTCCTTGATAGAGGGTTGCCGCTCACAAGGAAGCTATTAAACCAAAAGTTACATGTGCTGAAGTTAAAATCATCTTTTTTTTCGTACGCCATCACACGTTGGTCGACCGTTTTGGAATATCTGTTTCACAGATGACGACGGATATTTTCCAATAGTCGTTACAATAATCCCGTCCTCCTTTTCTCGAATATGACCTACCGAATAATACTTATCACTGGGTTTGTACTTACATGAGGAACAGGGGTTCCACATTGAGCAGGATCTGCTTACCCTTTTGGAACACCAGAGATCACCCCTAGTTTGTGGTGGGGTTCGTGTTTCTCAGTCTTTAGTTTTCTATGATGTGTTTTGTAATACTGTTGTTTGTCTTTTGGTCTATTTCTTTTATTGCCATGGAGTTATCAGTTCATTTTCGACTTATGAGTTGAAATGTCCCTTTGATATCTTTCGCCTCTCTTTGTCTGATAGTTTCAGTCGGTGAATAATAAAAATCAACGACATAACGTCGTTCGAATACTGCTTCCATTGACATTGATGAAATTCGTTATATAGATCTATAAAGGATCTATGATTCGGTCCTACCTACTAACTTTTTCTAGTCATTGTGGTATACTCAACATACATTTATATATTTTGTCAACGGTATAGGGTACAACACTAAACATGCTATATAAAAATGATGATTGATCGAAAAGAGTCGACTATGAGCTTCAGAAATACTTTTTGATTTTTAATATTTCGAGCAAAAGAATTTTTAAAAAAGTCCCTTTATTTTTCAACAATTCAATATACAATGATATATGCTCATCTGTATAGTTCCCTTTACTACTTTTCTAGGATCTGTACTGATAGATGATAGTACCAGTGTGTATTTTGAAAGCCCAGATGAAGTAGTTGTTACTGTTTCGGTAAATACATTATACATTCTATTATTAGCAAGATAGTTCATGTAAATCTAGTTTTTGTGTAAATTTGTACGTATGAATTAGTTTTCTCTTTAATTATCATTTATCATATTGTGATAGAAATTATAGTATTTAACCAAGCCCGGTCGATCCTTTGATGAATCCGAAATACCGTTATCGCAGGTGCCTGATCATTTACACACTATAACGGACCCAAAACATTCAGAAAATTGCTGTTTATTTATTATGGTGCTGATAGTCTGATACTATAAGTTACATAGTGTGCTAGTGACCTAATACGATATATATGGGTTCAGTAAATTCCATATGGGGTGAGGGCGAAGCTCGAATCCCCATATGGATTTACTGACCCCATATATATCGTATTAAGTCACTAGCAAACTGTAACGAATTTATCTTACCGACTATCTAAATACGTGGTATTTAGACTAGTGGCCTGTCTTCAATATTATGAACCTACTTCCATTGGTCTATATAAAAACAAATGCCAACAATAACAATTTGTTAACTTATAATGTGTTTTATGAATTTATTTTAATCGTTCATCATCAATTTCTTCGCCTGTTGAAACCTTTCAGATTTTTCCTCAACACCGTGTTGTTTTTACAAAGGGACGTAACACCACTACTAACCGTGTCTTGAAATATGCCACGCCTACTAACCCCATATGAAATATACACGGTCTCAACGCGGTTGCTTTTAACCAATCATATTCCTAGAAATGTATAGGAAGTAAGATAAACTATAATATGTTACTCGGAGTAAGCGCTCCGAATCATATATGTACTTCATCATCTAACATCGATTATTAGAAATTTCAAAAAATAAACCATAACTTTGGAACATTTGATTAATCCTGCAATCAAGCCAAAAGTTTGAATATACTACACTTGACCTGTTATCATTTGTGAAAAGACAATGCAAATATGACTTTATAAATCAATTTAGAATACAACTGATATACTAGTTCACATCAGTCATAATCTCAACTGATGAACGATTCAAAAATGTCATTTAAAGTAGCGTTGAGGTTATTACGACGTATTTCTTATACTACATTGAAAAGTCAGTCTATAATCTAGTACGCACAGTCAATCGTTTCATTTAAATTAGACTTATCAGAGGTGCTCGAATAAAAATTGTCATGCCGAATCAATAATGAATTTAAGGATAGGCGCAAATTTAGCATAATACATGTGAATATTATGAAAGTTTTATTTAAATCTTGTCATAGATTAAGTCCAATTGATGTAACGAAATGTATAGGTTCGCCACACTTAGCCAAACGAACAAATGAGTTGATCAGACGGTCGGTTTATACCACTAGTATAAGCAAAATACATTATAAATATATGATAGAAATCAAAATATTTAACAATGGTTTTTTTTTCAGAATCCAACTTCTGGTATATACAGGTTAATAAGAACAGGAAACAACTATTGGAGTGTTAATATAACAGCTCAAACTTCTGTAGATTTTCACTATCTTATAACAGAAGAAGCAGAAGATGGCTACTTATATAGAATATCGGGAAATCCAATCGTAGGTATGTATCGAATGATCAATACCAGTAAGAAGGTTTCACTCTTAGGCACTCATTCTTGTGATAAGATGTAACGAGTTTTTATTAATATAATGTATATGTCTGAAAAATTTTCCTCGTGATAATGAACTCAATGAAATATTTGTCACACATTGATTGACAATAAACATTCGTTAAAAATGTATTTCTTATTCAAGTATGGATCTTCAATGTTATCTTAAATGAAGACCCCCTCAGCATGAATTTGTCAATATTTAAAGATTTTAAAGAGCACTTTGGATATTTCTACGCTTTACTCTACACTTTCCAAAGGTTTCTACGATCGAGTACATTTAACTCTGATTAAATATTTTTTTCAAATAGTACATTTAACTGTTAGAATAAATTTTGAGACATCGCCGATATGTTTTATTTGAATTTATTGCAATAACAGAAATGCACTTCATTTTTGAACTGAATTAGTTGTGGTGTCGGGCCTAATATTACCATGTTGCAATGAAAACTACCACTTCATCGCGGGTAATACAGTAGTTGACCCCTGGAGACAGGCACAATGTCGAGAGTGTAGAAATATCGTATTGCAAAGAGAGTCTGTGGTATAATCGGTGTCTGTAATGGATGTAAGGCTTTTTTTTCTTTTTCAAAGCTTTAATCAGATTGTATACTTTCTAAATGATGTCATCAGGTATGGTCGCTTTTAAGTGACGTTACACTAGCATTATCGGTGGACAGCAAACAATTTTACCTCACAATTACATTTGTACCAATGAATAACTGAGATTAAACGATCCAGACGTTGATAAAAAATAAGGGTTCGGGAATGTAGAAATCGGCTAAAAATTAAAGAAATTTTGTTTAACGCATTGGCGGACTGCACATTGCTATGATGTAAAATGTGCACCATAAAGACATTGACCGTTTGTCTCAAGTATCGTTATTTCGTATATTTATTGTATCAGTTAATTTTTGCTAGATATGGATATGCATATCTATATGAAATAACTTGTACCTTTGTATTGTCATTATCATTTTAAACAAAAAAGTACCCTATCGTTTTATAGTCATTTTACAGCTACCTTTATAAACAAAATTTGCATAATTATTACATATCATAGTATCTGTTGTATTTATAATATTATCACACTCACTTTGAACTTTGGTTCTCCGTAAGTGCATAAATATCGTGTCGATGTAAATAGATAAAAGTGAACATATTTATATTCTTCCAAAACACTCGAGATAACCCCTGGTACTTGGTGGGGTTCGTGTTGCTCAGTCTTTAGTTTTTAATGTTTTGTTTTGTAAAATGATGTTTGTCTTTTCGTCGTTGTTTTTACTTTTTTGGGCCATGGTAATGTCTTGTTGTCTTCAACTTGTGAGTTTGAATATCGCTTTGGTATCTTCTGCGTCTCTTTCAAATAAAAAAATAGTTTAAACCTAGTTTTTTGCTTACGTGATATCAGCTTTGACCTTTAAACCGGTGAAATGATTACAAGAAAAAAAAAACATTGATATATATTCTTTTATGTAAAAGGATACATATATAAGAAAAAAGTAAAATCACAAAAATACTGAACTCCGAGGAAAATTAAAAAGAAAATCCCTAATCAAATGGCAAAATCAAAAAAGCTCAAACACATCAAACAAATTGATAACAACTGTTATATTCCTGACTTGGTACAGGCATTTTCTTATGTAGAAAATGGTGGATTGAACCTGGTTTTATAGCTAGCTAAACCTCTCACTTGTATGACAGTCGCATCAAATTCTATTATATTGACAACGATGCGTGAACAAAACAAACAGACACAATAGGTAAAAGTGTCAAAAATAGGGGTACAGCAGTCAACATTGTGTTATCATCTTAATCACTATAAAAACAAACAAATGTAACAAAGAAGCACAAAAAGGCATACATCAAATTTAACATCCTCATTTTGCTTTATTATTAAACAATTTTATTTATCTATGTAAAATCCACCCATAAAGAATGGAAGGTTTTAAGAACTGGCTAAAAATCGATCATTTGAAATTCGCACAGGTAGACATAAAATTATTTTGTCGTTCAAAGTATGACGGGATACATAAGTAGAGAGTCACGTAAAATGGATATCACAAAAACAGACTTAACAGTAAAAGTAATATTAATAAATAAAATAATTTTGTCGTTCAAAGTATGACGGGATACATAAGTATAGAGTCACGTCAAATGGATATCTGAATAAACAGGCTTAACAGTAAAAGTAATATTAATAAAGACAAATAAAAGAATGCTACAACACGTTATTAAGATGATAAACAACGTCAGTACGCAGAATCTATACTTCAAGACCATGGTGTATTATTTTTGAAGTTGGTACGGAATATTTATCAACAAGGTCTTGGTACCTTCCGATGAACTTTTTTAGAAAAAGGACGAGACGTTCTTTGACATACCCCTGGTTCATCAACTTTCTGCTCAGACACTGGTGACGTTTTACAAAGTTTGAGTAGGAGCTGCAAGCTCTTGAATACCGAATAAGTTGCGAGATGTATATCCCATATGCAGGTGAAGTTGGTATATTGCTACTAAGGTGGGGGAAATTGATAATTTCAAAATTAAAATCGTCTCGTTTGTCATAGATTCTGGTACTGAGATGACTGTGTATGTCAAATTCGAGATATAAGTCTAAAAATGAGGTGGAAGAAGCCGTGTCTGTTGTTTCCTTAATTTCTAGTTCTGGTGGATATATTAATGGAACCCAATCAGAAAAGTTCGGATTGATAATAAAGTAGAAGGTTCAAGGTGTGTAGAATATTAATTGGAGACAAATACGGGTTCCTAGGGAGAATGTTATATGCAGGGAGCATGGTTTCACCCTTTTATAATTTTCCTTGAAAATTGTTTTATTTTATGTATACAAACAAAATGAGGGACACTAGGTCAGCTGCCCTAGACTGCTTCTGGTTTATGTATTCCATATGATTTAAATCAAATGATCTTGTTCGTGTAAACCTAAAAATGGAATAAAAAAATAAAATGAACTTTTAAACGTTTTTCAGGCGAAAGATATACATTATATTTTAATGTTTACAACCTACCTGTTGGTATGGACGCATCAGCCGTGCGTTTGACAACGAATGATTTAGCAACAAGCTATTTAAATCTAACACAGATGGCTGGGGATTTTGGAACCACATATTTCGTTTCAACGACTCTGTCTTCAGATGTAATTATGTACTTTTATGTATATAAAATATTAACTTTTAAATCATGTAGTACAATTATCTATACAAAACATATGATAGAGGATAGAACCTCATAGTATATATAACATAATCTACAGGTAGAGGTCTCGAATGTTTTAATAAACAAGATCAGTGTCCTACAATAAATTAATGCAGAGTTTTTTAAAATTAAACTTGTTTGGATTTGGTAAGAAATACTTTTAAGATTGAATTGATACCGGTTTTTTTTCGAAATTAAGGAAAATGAAAAATAAGAAAAAAATACTTTCCGCTATTTGGGATAAGGCAGATAATTGTTGTTTTATTTGTTGTCACAATCATTTTTTTTCGTCTATTGCATCAAAAGAAGATATAAAAAGGAACTATTAAAATCAAATAAAAACAATTGACCACAAAGTTTGGATTGGTAACTGCGAAAATATTGATATAGTTATCCATTCAAACATAATATCGGTAAGCTATTTTCCAGCTTTACGAGATAAGTATTTATGGAACAGAAAACAGTGGAAATACATGGATGAGGACCTCACCTCATTTGATATCTCCGACCACCGTTAGACTCAAGTTGATTTCAACACCAGGTTTGTATAAGTTTTGAAACAGACAGTGCGCTGCATCAATATATGCAGTACAAATTATGAAAAATAAAAAAAACCTGGTGTAATGCAGTTAGCAATGTATTTACAAATACTTTGATTTCCAAGTTACTGATATTTTGCCGTTCCAGATCAAAATTGATTTGAGATATCTAATTAAGAATGATCAAGTTCATCTTGTTGTCTCCTTTGATACAACGCGCGTCTTTGCATACTCAATTTTAATCCTGGTATATATATCATGAGTTTATTGATAAAACCGATTGGTTGTTGTTTGTTTATCGTCCAGTAACAAATTGTTAATGCAAATTCGTAATAAGCAAAGTTGTTGCAAGGGTTTCATGATGTGCACTGAGCACGGGACGTTCCTGCAAATATACAATATAGAATTTGAATAGCAAAAACTATTTTTGTAAATATACTGATCTAGTATATTTAAGGCAGTGTGAGAACTACTTAAAAATTAAAGGAGGTGTGACATATACATGATTAAACAATATCTTAGTTAAAGTTATAGAAAATATTTTGTTTAAACTACTTTGTACGTTTCAGAAAATATGAGTTTTTATGTTTTTTTTTCATTTAACATGTTTAAGGAATATTACATTATTACAAATTATGTGTACCCGAGTTCTTAACAGCTGTGCAGACATTTCAAAGTATCGTTTACTGCAGTACACTGTTATTTGGGTCTATTGATATGTTGTTTTATTGCATTTATTAGTGTTTCTGTGGTGTTTATAACATATCTTTGACATTGATTGGTTCTTTGTATGGCATTTTTTAGATCTATATGTGAACACTGTTGGTACCGTATCCTACACTGTAGAAAACAAAGGATCAGAGAATGAAACCTTTGTTATGGATGTATCAGATGACAGAGGATTACTGACCGGCCAGACAAGTTTTACACAATTAATAAGTAGCAACGGTTCTACAGAAATAATATTTCAAATACAGGGATCTAGCCTATATAATACAGTGTAAGATTTCTTTTTCTAACTTCTGAGACGAAATTGACCAAGTCCCATTAGTAGCCACTTCCAATTATTCAAAACGAAAGGATACAACTATCTACGAAAATTTCACCTCAGAAGATTTTTCTAGTAGCCTTCGTTTTATTTTTTTTTAAATTTTAATCCTCTAACACGTTTTGTATATTGTTTTTTTTCTAATTATCTTGATTTTGAATGTACCTTATAGATGTTGCTATAGAAACATAAGAGCATGAAATGGGCACTATATTTGTTTTCAAACGTTATTTTAGATATACACTCCTGTTGAGGTTAAATATTGCTGAACCATAACGTTTATACTATTTATAAAGGTGGTTGATTCCCTTAACAAATAGGATAAACCATTTACCAGTTGTATACGGCATACTTACAGTTTTAAAGGGGGAATACAGTATTGTATCTTTTATTCAGAGAAAAAGATGGATCTCGACTAGCGGAGTTGACAAGATCCGGGCTTCTTTTTTCTACCTCCATTTCAAATAAAAAGTCTTTTTGTAACAGAAATATGCGTTAAACCTCCCAAGTTAAATAATTAATTGAATAAATGATGTAAGAATCAATTAATATCGACTAAACATCTTGCTGGGGTTTCCTTGGAATAATTTATTTTGCACAAACCAACTACTTATTCTAATATGACGTTCTTCTTTCGCTTCGGAAACAAAGCCATGTTCTAATTGCAATAGAACATGGGTTGCACGTGGTTGACGTCACAATTGAAAATGCAACGTCAGTTGTATTTTGAACATCGCCGGAGATCAAAATGAAACTTTGCGTTAGTATTGCTCGCTGGGAAATAAAATATCATCATTCTAAAAGTAAGTATACATGTATCTGTTCATTATTTATCGTGAAACATTTGATTTTCTATATTTTGGCTCCATAAAATCAAAAAATCTGCCAATCGAATATGTACTTTAGGTCCGCTTCGAAGCACAAAAGTGCTACATTTTTCCTATAAGAATCGAAATAATTCAATCATACCATGCTCTATGCTCATTTTAACATGGTTAGGCTAACGCTCGGTATAAAGATATTGACAAATACAATGCCTACCCATGTTAAAATGAGCATACAGCATGGCACAAAAGAAATATTTTTCAAGTACGTATTACGAATACATAAAACATAAAAACATGGCTGCAACCATGTACATCCCGCACAGACAAGGCTTTTACTACCGGTCGGACCTAAGTAAAGTTTCTATTCCCCACTCTTTAGGGAAGGAAATCAAAATAGGAATGCTTTTGAAATTACAGGTGAAGATGAATCGGCCATTTCCTTTTTATTGTATTTTTCTATATTCAGATTTAAATACTGACATTGTTTTATTAAAATCTCATTTTCAGGACGTACTCTACTACAGTTCGTAAACACGGATCAGCTAGTATTATTTTGAGGGAAAGTCAAACACTATATGTACGTACTTACCTAATTAGATGATATTGTTGTTGAATCGATTTATTTTTTCAGTTTGCCATCCTCTTGTTGGAGAATATTTGAACTACCTCATGTATCGACGAGATAAAAAATATGTTCCTAATATTCATTACAACAGAGATCTGCTTTATAGTTGTGGTTGACTTTACTACATAGATTCAATTTTAAATTGATCTTTATTCAGAGGAAAAGTAATCTATAAGGTTATCTATTATGACGAACACCACTAAGAATTACTTAGGTATACATCGAACTTGTCTTTTGTTTAGGTTCTTTTTGTTCATATAGCTCTTCACGTGTTTAGGACTTATACATCATCCCGGTGAAGGTAAATCCCCAAAAGCGCTTTGGACGCATACAAATATTAGATTGTAATTTTTAATGTAAGGTGTAGAGGGAAAATAAACAATGTCCAATGATTTACATGAATAGACTAGACTGCAAAAAGAAGTATGCAGTTATTCATAACAATCGTTAAAATCATACAGCAGTTGCTAATAACAATTAAAGATACATTTACATTAATTTTGTATTTTCTGTTTTTGTAAAAGTACATAATTTCGGTGTCATCTTTGGCTGTACGCACATAACCCTAATAATTAAAAGATATTATTAAAACGTTCACATGGTTCATGTTCTAATAAGTTATACTCAAGAATTTTAAATTGTCTATTATATGTCTTCCTAGATTAGTCAAGATATTCCACCATCCTGTTCGGTTCAAGCATTGGTCGAAATATGTGATGACTTGGGTAACACTTCGTGTTCAGCAGTTACATGGGATGCACAGGCAACAATAACATTTGCATCTGAGCTGTCATCTATTGCTGGATCAAAAGGATTGATTTTTGTTACTAGCAGTGTAAATTTATCCCCGATAAATATAAATGTCAGGTAGTAAATTTAGGAAATAAATTATTTTTTGAAACATATTGTACCTCATATGTTTAAACGAATGACGATCCCTATTGTACGATCATTGGATAATGATAAATAATAAATTTCCAAAATAATGAAGTACCCTTTTGATGCGGCCAATACATATTTTTATCAACCCAATGAAAGTTTTTTGACTGAAGACATAGTTGCTATATTTTCATCGGGTCTATAAAACATTATTGACAATATAAATAGCTTCTATTGTTTTGTTTTACATGTAGCATCATATAAGACGAAACAACCTAAACTAACATTTCAATGATGATCACCCAGCATAATAAAGTTTATTTTCATTTGTATTATATTTTGCTGCTTGTTTACATATTGGCTACCCACCAATCCCCTAAGAATGTACACAAACACAGTGATCAAAAATGTGAAATTAAAAAAAACCCAATAGAAACAATTTTGTGTACATTCTTAGTTGCAAGTTGTACCACCGTTTTTTGCACATTTACTATTTAAAATCGAAATACTGCAAACCCTTGCATCCAAAGTGTTGCGCAATTTCAAATTAAGCTCAAACTATTGGTTAGTAAAATATGCTCCAACTAAGGTACAATGACTCTTTCAGTCGGATTATAATATGTTCCTTCATTTACATTATCCCTTTTTATTGAACTGAACAGAAAGCTCGGCTGATATTTTTATTAATGCTTAGTCAAATACAAAGTGATATTGCTTTATAAAGACAGATAAATCACGTTTTATGTACAATTATTTTACAAAACTATGAACCTAAATTCGGAAGTGTAAAATGTAAAAACTAGTTTACCGACGAAATGAAATCATATTCTGTAGTATGGATGGCAATATCATTGAAATATAGGAAACTTGATATTTCTCTTTCACTTTTATCCTACTGCATACTATGATTTTATTCCTATAATCTACTTGTTTTACGTGACACCATTCTATAAATATTCTTACAGTGGAGATTGCTGCACTCCATCAGCATACCTTACAGTAATTGATAAAAGTAGCAACTTTGCCAGATGCCATTTTTATCTCGGTGACATTAAATATGTAGAGAAATCGGAACCAGTGTTGTCAACAGCGGTAAGTGAATGTGTCCTGTAATGTTAACTAGAATTGCACAAATTCTGAGATAAACGTGTATCTTTATAAAAATTTCTTGCTTTATCTAATTTAACTCCCATTCAAACGTAGGGTAAGTATTGCATTTACCATGTTGGTCTGTAAAAAAACCAATGACAAACTACATTTTACAAAACACAACACAGAAAACTAAAGACTGAGCAACAAGAACCTTATTAAAACAAGTTGTGATCTCAGATACTCCTGAAGGGTAGAAAGATCCGGGGGATCCTGCGCCACATGTGGCACCCAATGTGTTGATCATGTAAGTGCAAACCGGTGTTAAGTTTAACTTTGTAGGGCACATTGTTGGAAAAGAGGACGGCAGGCGCTGCTGAATTGTTCTTTCATAAAAATGGAAATTTCACAACAGGGAAGCTAACACTATCTCTTTGTCTTCAAACTTTGTACTAAACCGACCATCATTGTCAATTTCTCGATTTAAGTCAAAATATCGGGCAGAATTAATTGTATCTGTTGTATCCTTTATTTCAAGTCCGATGGGATGAATGCTTTCAAAATAGTTACCAAACTTTGAATTATTCATTGAGAAGACATTATCTTTATAGCGAAAAATGAAGTTAAAGGATAAATCTGGCTTCTTTTTGTGCATCAGAAGAAGCTCTTACATGGAGTCAGCCTCATATGAATAAAAGAACAAGTCGGCAAGGGAACGGCACAGTTAGTTCCCAAGGGAATACCTAATGATTTTTGAAGAATACATTTCCTCAAAACGTAACAAATATGTTACTGTTCTAAGACAAGATTTTTCTATCTACGTTGGCCATTCCTAAATATGAAACAAGGCAGGTCCAATTCTTTCAATTTGTCTTTTAATTTGTGTCGTGTGAACACTTTTACCTGTTGGACGCTATAGTCCTGTTTACCGCCGGTACTCTTAATTTTTTCAAATGTTAAAAGAAAACAAAAATATTCGTCACTCTTTTCTCATAGACTACTGTATAGAATGACTTCAGTTTTTATCAGCAGCTTGATGGTTATGAGTTTTGTGCACTAATTTGGATATGTCTCCTACTTTCTGTTTTCCTAAACTCTGAAATTACGAGTAGGATATGCTTAGCACGACATTGCTCGCATAGGTGCTAGGACAGTATAAATGCAGGTATAATCTTTGACGGCTACATATTTGCATCATTGATATTTGCTCAGTAATAAACATGTAAAAGGATCAATTCTAGTTAGACACTTTTTAATTTCGATAACGCACACGTTTTTTTGAACCCGTATTCAAATCTTTCATTTGTCATATTCACATCATATATAATTTGTATTACAGGAGCAGATTGCTATAGGTGTTATTGCCGGTATTGTTGCAAGTTGTTTATTTGCATTGTTGATAATTGGAATAATTGTATATCGAAAAGCAATTAAACCTACATTAGAGGACAGTAAAATCAACCCGATTAAAGCAAAGGGTAATTCATATCCAGAGAAACAGATGCAAGATGTTTTTGATGATTTTTGCGATGTGTCAAACAGACCGCCAATTGCAACAACATTACAACAACCTTTAGAACTTGAGGATCTCGATCTAGAATAGACTTGGAAAGATTTTACTTTATATCAATTTTGGTTATGACATCTTTGTTTTCATTAAACAAGTTTTTTTTTACTTTAAAATCATACTTTTTCATGTTTTTGGAATTAATCAGTTTGAAAAAAACAAGATATACATTGGTATTTTTTTTGTTTATATAAATTGTGTGACTATCGTGACTTTGAAGAATATATTTTGTTGTTCTTTTTAAGATGAATATTCAAGAATAAACACCTGACATTGTTTTTTTAATTAGATTTAGGTCTATTTTATAATTATTGGAATAACGTATTAATGTAAAGACGAGAGTTAGCTTAAAGTACATATGGTTCGATATTTACTGCCCAGCCCTTATGAGTGACGTAGAAAAGCATCCATGTGACATAAGAATTCCATAAAAAAAACAAATTGTTGTAATGATCCAGACATAAAAGCTCTGGTTAGATCAAAAGCCAAACCATGGTTAAAATTAGTTAATCAAAACAAAATTGTAGTCATGTCTATTTCGATTTATTATTCGCCAAGTATCGAAGAGGTATACTGTAATGTCAATGTCAGTCTTTGTCTGTTGTTACCATTTCACAGTTTATGTATGAAGAACTGGACATTTGGCTCGAACTTTATAATAATCAGTTAAACCCTGTTAACGACTCTCAAGGGCAATCAAATCCTGCTTCATGATACTTTAAATTTCTTTTTTTGTAGGTAAATATATCTTCACTTCAATATAATGGAATGAATAGATATGCGTAATTTAATCATGTAAACTATTTTATATTTTGTTTGCTCGACACCGTGTGCATTTCTTTTTACACCGCTGTATAAATTAGTGAATTAGAAATACATGTCAGTTCTTTAAAAGTGTGCGAATAAAATCGAAAGTCACTCAAAAGTGACCAAAATAATAATCAAATCAAAATTAAAATATAAGTTTGTTTGATGAATCATTTATACCTGTTTACGTACAGCAAAATTTGGAAACATGATAGTTGTTTCTTTAATGATATCTTTCTGGTTATTGGATATGCTATGTTGAAATAAAGTTTGTAAATATAAGTAGAAACATTAAAGTACGTAGAAGAAATAGCAACCCGCTAGAAAACACAAAAACATGACACATAAAAGAAAAAAAAACCATAAAAGCAAAATATATTCTCTCGATGCAAGCAATAAATAAATAAAACGTGACAATATTCATTTGATGTATTTTGGAGCCTCTTTCATTGTAGATAACAAATCACTAATTTAAAAAATAATAAACCTAACGATCATGCTATATGTAAGTGAATCGTCAACAATAGATAAGTGTCAATGAGTTAGCTGCTCTTTTCTGTGTTTCCCATGACATATTAAATATACTGTTAAGTAACGTTAAGTTCCTCTGCAAAAGTTGAAGCACTATAAACTGAAAGTTGTTGAGATATGATTTTATAATTTTGTGTCGATTAGTTGACAATGACAGACCCCTGCTAAACCTCAACTGTTTGTGCTTGAATCGATATAGTAAGTTGTAAAGACGATGTGGTAGTCGATCCTCATCTTCTTTGCCGTATTCATGTTATTTACTCTTGTGGTGAGTCCATATCTATATCAGCTTGTGACAGTGGATTGGTGCAAATGAGTATGCTGTTCAACATATAAAAATAGATGTTTCATTATCAAATAAAATATCCGTTAATGTGCAAATGTCTATAATTAATGTGTAGATCATATGTAGAAGGACACAACGGCATTTTTATCCTAATTTTATGTACATTTTAAACATTTATAGACTTATTTCATTGTATCTTTGAAAGTAAAAATTCTAAACATATAAATCATTAAATATTCAGAGGTTGTTCACGGTGTTCTAAACTATTCAACATAACGTCAAGTTTAGGTATATAAGTCTAAGTAGGACTTTAGAATATGAAAATTGTTTTATGCTAAATTTACTTTTATGTAATATAATCAACTTTAATGATTATACTTTTGTTTTTATCTCAATTCTTACATCATCAACTTTCGTTTCTAATCAATTTTAATATTATTGTTTTGAACCTTTTCGTCAGTTTCAGTTTCATGATTGCCAATAGTTCATTTTCGTAATTTTGAAAGGCTTTCTTAATATAGAAATATTAGTAAATAGCATAAGTATAAATTATAAACATACCCTTTAAAAGACTTCAGTGTTAGGTTCTGAACAGGTATATAATTTTTGCACATGATGTTGATTTGGAAAGAAATACAGATAATATTTTGTCACAATATGGTGTTTTGTACTGAAAACATATTTATCAAAATTTTGGGTCCTCAGTGAAATGACTTCATACTTTATTTCGCCTATTTTACTCTTCAGATTAGAGCGTCAATGATAAGTCTTTTGTACAGGAAAGGAGCATCTGGCCCTTACAATTTTAATCCTCGTATGTATGATGAGTTTCTTATTGGACACTGATAATGGTAAATTTCCAAAATGTGTTTTGGACCAATTAAATTCATGTGTACTTTGTATTTTATTAAGTTGTTAGAATATAATGCACATTGTTTACATTGCACATTATACGACGGCTGCAACATCTGGAGCAGGATCTGCCTTCCCTCACGGAACAACTGCGTCCATCCCGGTTTTTGGTGGGATTAGTGTTGCTCAGTCTTTAGTTTTTTATGTGTACTGTTGCAAGTCTTTTTTTTTTGCCATGGCGTTGTCAGTTTATTTTCGACTTATGAGTTTGAATGTCCCGTTGGTATATTTCGCCTCTCTCCTAGTCTAAATATGTTATAAAATAGCTTTGAAACAACTAACATAACATACATTGTATTACTCTTCCTATGACATTCAACCCTCCTATTTTCTGTTGAGAAAATAACTAAAACAATTAGATGATTTTTTATTTTTTTTTTAAAACGAACAAAATATCAAAGTCAACATTCTAAATCTATTACTCGACTATGTTGAATTGATATCGGATGATTTATAATTTTGACGTCGTCACAGTATTAATTTAAAATAGCCTTTCAAGACCGTCATAATCATGATAATTATTTGGACTAGTATTGTGAAAATCAATTTTAATGTTCCTTTTTTGAACTATTCGTCAGTTTCAGATTCACAATTGTCAATAGTTCATTTTCGTCATTTTTAAAGGATTTCTTAGTATAGAAATATTAGTAAATGGCATAGGTATTAATTAAAAACTTACTCTTTAAAAGACTTCAGTGTTGGGTACTGAACAGGTATTTGTACCTTAGTTTATTTATTTTGTATTTACATTGAATCATAGGTCAAATTTATTTATTCAGTGTATGTTCACTTGTGTTAATATGTCCTTTGATTGAGTTAAGCTATTTCAGTTGATATTTTATAGTGTGTCTTTCTATGTTGGGATGTTACACTATTGTTTCAGAAAAAGGGTGAAAGTTTGGTACCATTAAAACGTTTAAACCCGCTGCATTTGTTTGCACCTGTCCTAAGCTGGGAATATGATGTTCAGTAGTTGTCGTTTGTTGATGTGGTTCATAAGTGTTTTTCGTTTCTCGTTTTTTATATAGATTAGACTGTTGGTTTTCCCGTTTGAATTGTTTTACACTAGTAATTTTTGGGGCCCTTTATAGTTTACTGTTCGGTGTGAGACAAGGCTTCATGTTGAAGACCGTGCTTTGACCTATAATGGTTTACTTTTATTAATTTTGACTTGAATGTAGAGTTGTCTCATTGGCACTCATACCACATCTTCTTATATCTATATAATTTTCACATATGCTATTGATCTGAAAAGAAATAAAGATAATCTTCTGTCACAGTATGGTGTTTTGTACTGAAAACATATTTATCGAAATTTTGGGTCCTAAGTGCTCTATAACTTCATACTTTATTTCGCCTATTTTACTCATCAGGTTAGAGCGTTATTGATAAGTCTTTTGTACACGAAACTAGCGTCTGGCCCATACATTTTTAATCCTCGTATCTATGATGAGTTTATTATCAGACACTGATAAAGGTTAACTTTTCAAAATGTGTTTTGAACCAATTAAATTCATGTGTATTTTGTATTATATTAAAATGTAAGAAAACAATGCACGATGGTATACATTGTACATTATACGACGACTGTCACATGTGGCGCAGGATCTCCCGGAACACCTGTGATCATCCCCGGTTTATGATGGGATTCGTGTTGCTCATTTTTTAGTTTTCTATGTTGTGTTTATATGTGTACTGTTGTTTGTCTTTTTGTCTTTTTTGGTTTTTTTCCACGGCGTTCTAAGTTTATTTTTGACTTATTAGTTTGAATATATTTCGCCTCTTTTCAAGTCTACATATGTTTTTAAGTAGCGTTGAAACATAATATACCTTGCATTACTCTTCCTATATCATTCAAACCTTCTATTTTCTGTTTAGTAATAACTAAAAGAAATGAGATGATCTTTTATTTTTTCCAAAACGAACAGAATATCAAAGTCAACATTTTAAATCTATTATTTGACTATGTTGTATTGATTTGGGATAATTTATACAATGTCAATTACACATAATAAAGAGCATCCAAAGCAATTTCCTGGGTTTCATGAGGAACGCTCGAATCTAAACATATGAAAGTCAGCAATGTATAAATATATAATTATTTTCATTTACCTGTGTATAATATGACACAGGTTTCTTCAAAAGTGATGATTTTCTATAAATTGTTTGAAATGTCACAGTGATATTATACTTTAACTTTGTTTAAACCTGTTTATTTATTTTTGACTTTAATTATTTATCCCTTGTAATTTTTTATTAACTGTGTATTTGCATTCAGGTGTCACAGGTCAAATTTATTCGTTCATTGTGTGTTAATTTACGTTTTTTGATTGAGTTAAGCCTTTCAATTGATATTTTATAGTATGTTTTTCTATGTTGTGATTTTATAATATTGTTTCAGAAAAGGGAGAAGGTTTGGTACCATTAAAACGTTTAATCCCGCTGCAAATGTTTGCACCTGTCCTAAGTCAGGAATCTGATTATAGTAGTTGTCGTCTGTTTATGTAGTTCATACGTGTTTCTCGTTTCTCGTTTGTATATAGATTAGACCGCTGGTTTGTCCGTTTGAATGGTTTTACACTAGTAATTTTTGGGGCCCTTTATAGCTTGCTGTTCGGTATGAGCAAATGCTCCGTGTTGAAGGCCGTACCTTGACCTATTATGGTTTACTTTTATAAATTGTAACTTGGATGGAGAGTTGTCTTATTGGCACTCATACCACATTTTCCTATATCTATGAACGTAACGAGCTAT